TTGTAGGTTTCTGGTTTCCTTATTTGTTAATACTTAATAAGCTGCTTGATTTTTTTCTTTCTTCTTGAATTTCAAGGAAATCTTTACCACAAAAAGCAGTGTCTGGATCTGGCAGAAATTGAACTCCAAAATGCAAAAGAGATATTAATTGCTAATCAGCGAGATTTTTCTTGTTTTAAGTGCAAACTGAAGTTGGAAGTTACATTGGATAAACAACTTGGAGACATATCTCGGAAAAAAATTGATAGAGTTTCCCAGACAGATGGATTTTTGCATGCTGAAAGCTTGTTTAGTGCTGCCCTGGGAAAAGTCTGTTGCTCAGCATGGAAAAGCTGCATTAGATCACATGGGGAAGAAATTGCTGAGGAAATAGTGGTTGATAGAAATGGAGGGGACGGTTTAGGACATAAATCAAGTAAAACGAAGCTCAATATAAAGGAGCCACCAGGAAACAGAGGCTCCAGGAGGGGTCGAATAGCTAACCAAACTTGTTTGTCAAAGGACCAGGATTTGATATCTGAGCCAACGTCAAGGTTGACTCGATCTATGCGTCACTCACTTAAAGAGCAATGCCAAAACCGTTCTAATGTGCCTGAAGTTGTTTCAAAGAAGCCTAATTTCTGTGATAGATCTGTTGGTTGTAGGGGTGAAAGGGTGTTGTTGGACACAAAAAATGCAGTCCGTGGATTTTGCATTTGCTACAAAGAAAAATGTCAGCAGTGCTTCTCCGAAGGAGTAACAGAATCTGGGTCTCTCAACAATCTAGTAAGTTTGAAATGGAAACTCTGCCATAGGAAGCTTGCGTCCTCAATACTTGTTAGCCTGGGTATTCTCTAATTCCTTATGCAATTGCTTACTCAAATGCATATGAAAGTTGGCTTTTTGACATTTTTCTGCTGAAACAACCTAATAGCTTAATAGTTTAGACTTTAGATGAGAACTGAGATCCAGTAACCATTAACGTCACATCCATTGTTGATAAAAAAAAAAAAAGTAATGGAAATGAAAAACCTTGAGTGAGTTTTGAGGCCAAATGAGTTTGATCTTATTCTCCATTTCTATGCTTTTGTTTTGTATTCTGACAATTCTCCGGTAACTCATGAAAATTGTGTTGGCAATTCATTTGTTTATTCTCATAAAAACACACACATGGTATACACGTCTCACTTACAATTATGAAGCATTGCTAGAAGATGAGTATCTCTGCTTACAGTTTAGCTTTCCAATTCAGGAAAATGTTTGGCAGACTCTGGTAGAGTTCATCTAGCTCATGAGGCTTTACTGCATAGTATCTCTGTTTTATTTAAAAGCAACTGGTCCAGCCACAACCAGCCTTCTGTCTATCAGTTGCTGGAGTTTATCGGGAAAGAAGTTACAAGAGATGTATTTGCTGTTGACCGTGCAATAATACTATACAACTTGTGCTGGTTGAATTTGCGGAATTACCACTGCAGGGATAGTAGGTATGTGAGACATATATTGTTTGTATAACACTTGTCATTTTTGCCATGCTCGAGCTTTTGTCCTCATGTAAAACATCATATGCTAAATTGATCAAGTATGCTTTAGAAATGTGTACCTATCATCCTTCTTAACCTCTTTATTGTTACCTTTAACAGGTCTATTTGCTGTGATCTGTTTCATATTCCTTTCACAAAACTGGTGTCATGGTTAATGTTAGCATTTGTACTCAGCAGAGAGGTTCCAATATTATTTCAAAAGGTAAAAGCTTGGGTTGTTCAACGGTAACCTGTCCTTGCCTGTTTTGTTTGAATCTTAATTATTGTTCAGTATAAGACTGTTTTTTGTTCCCGATAGGTTTCAAGATTGCTTGCCTCTTTATATCTACTTTCTTCCTCAAGTGCTGAATTCTCATTCGAATATGATGGAAGTGAGCTGTCAGCAAGTCATTGGGTCTCATTTTTCCATCAAGCCTCGCTTGGTACCCATATCAGTTATCATTTCATTTCAAAGTTGAGTCAAAAACACAAATCACGGTGCCTCTCAGATAAAGAGGTAAGATAGGTTTTTTCAGCTTTTCAATTTGTGGATTAACCTCTGTGTTATTGATGATATCTTGACGTATTTATTGATTGCTTTTTCAAAGTAGGTGTTTCGTCTTCTATCTGACAGCTTTTATTTTCAGTGCACAGAGGCTACTTGCTCGAGTTGCATGGTTCCTGAGGATTTGGACTTACCCAGGTATGAGATAATTTAACTTAAGCAACCAGACATGCTTTTATAATTTATGTTGGCTGACTCTGTTTTTTCTTACTCGCCATTGTAGGCTTGCTCCTGAGCGTACTCAAGATCTTGTACAATTCGCTAAAGAATTTTTCATCAATCTTCCAAGCTCAACAATCATCTGCATTAGTTTGCTTGGAGGTGCTTTAAACCAATTGTTACAGGAGCTAATGCATATTCGTTCACCTGTTTGTGCCTGGGTGCTCATATCGCGCCTAAACCCAGAAAGTCAACCGGTTGCCACACTTCTATCTGTAGATTCGATTCTAGAAGGTAAATATGAACTGCATACTGGTTGATCTATGGTGTTTTCTCTTTGTACTCAGGATTTCACTGATTCACTAGACATGTCAGATAACAGTGCAAACCTTAGCTCTACGGAAGCGACTCAAGTTAAGAGTTTAAAGGGGCCTTGGCTTTGTCCATGGGGTGCCACCGTGGTTGATGAGGTAGCTCCAGCATTTAAATCAATATTGGAGGAAAGCTACTCATCTTCTTCTACTCCTGAAGAAGACACAATAGAGAGTAGGGGCCTGTGGTGGAAAAAGAGAAAGAAACTTGATCATCGTCTGGGAATATTCCTAAGGTATGATTGCTCTCTTTTTATAACACATGCACATGTCTGTCTATTTTACATTTACAGGACTGCGTTTTGATCCATCTTCTGAATCGACAACTGCGTACGAGTCTGCATGTTTGTAAACAACATTGGATAACCATTCTTTTGTTCTAGGAATCTAGAAGCTTCATGGCTGGGCCCCTGGAGGTGTCTGCTTCTTGGAGAATGGTCGAACTACAAATTGCCTGCCTCAGTGCAGAAAAAGCTGGTAAATGATCTCAAGTCCAAGTGCAAAATGGAAGTAAATGAGATGCTTTTGAAGGTTATTCTTGGAGGTGGGACAGACAACTTTAAAGGAGAAGCATGCGTCGCTCAGCTTTCTTTAAGAAATGGTTGCTATGTAGGTAGAGGGGGATATCTTTATGAAGAAGATAGCTGTAAAACTCCTACTGCTGCGTCTAATATATCTGAAAGTAGGCATGAATTAGCCTTAAAACTGATACATGACGCAGCAAGCAAACTAGGGGAACAAGATGGACATGAAAATAGAGAACCTATCATTCTTGTGTTAGATCCTGAGGTTCAGGTTCGTCAATTATATCCTTATCACTTTCGTGCACATGTATTAGAAAGTTTTACTGCCATCGAGAAGTTCTGCTTATTTTATCTGTTGCGATTCTTGGCTAACCAACTTGCTGATTTTGATTAGATGCTTCCTTGGGAGAATATTCCAATACTAAGGAAACAGGAGGTGTACCGCATGCCTTCCGTAGGTTGCATATCTGCTGTGCTAAAGAAGCGCAGTGAAGGAGAGCCAGCAAGATCTCATTTTGTTTCCTTCCCTCTTATTGATCCGCTAGATTCATTTTACTTGTTGAATCCTGGTGGTGATCTCACCGATACCCAAGACAAGTTTGAGAGTTGGTTCAGAGATCAAAACTTTGAGGTAACATATTACAAAAGCATATATACTTCTAGAAACATTATTGTGATGCTTTGTTTCCAAACTTCCATTATTGCGTATACTTCAGGGGAAAGCTGGATCAGAACCAAGTGCTATAGAGTTGACAGAAGCATTAAAAACACATGATCTCTTTCTATACTTTGGTCATGGAAGCGGTATGATTCCTCTAGCACTTTGGATTCTTAATCGTTAAGCCGTCTTTGGTGCAATATTTGTTTACTTGAGATTGATTTTTAAAAGATCCTTTACTGTTTATGCTATGGCAGGAGCACAGTATATACCTAGGCGTGAAATAGAGAAGCTAGATAACTGTTCTGCAACTTTCTTAATGGGATGCAGTAGTGGTTCACTATGGCTAAAAGGCTGCTACATCCCAGAAGGCATACCACTTTCTTATCTCCTAGGTGGATCTCCAGCCATTGTGGCGACTCTATGGGACGTAACAGACCGAGACATTGATCGGTTTGGGAAAGCGTTGTTGGAAGCATGGTTGCAAGAGAGGTCAGATTCTTGTTCAGAGGGTGGTTGCAGCCAGTGTGAGTCATTAGCAAATGAACTTGCAGCCATGAATCTAAAAGGCAACAACAACACCAAGAGGTCAAGGAAACCGTCATCGCGTAACAAGCCAGCTCAATCAAATGTCGATGGGTCAGGGAAGATTGAGTGCAACCACAAGCATAGACGTAAAATCGGTTCATTCATAGCTGCGGCTCGAGATGCGTGCACCTTGCAATACTTGATTGGGGCTGCGCCTGTCTGTTATGGTGTACCAACTGGTATCACAAGGAAAAAAGGAATTGATGCTCTTCTTCCTTCTACTTCTTCATCTTGTTAGTAGGTTAGAGCATCTCTAAAATAGTCCATTCTCAACTTGGAATCCTCATTGTTTGGTCGTATAACAATTGTGAGGGTTATTTATATTAGCAAAAAAATTTAGGAGTTAGGACGTCAAATCAGAGATCTTATGACAGCAACACAAGAGAAGAGAAAAAAAGGAGACTCTAGTCTAGAGATATATATTCATCCCTGTTTTTATATAACAAATTGTAAAAAGGAATATCACATGATGTATTGTCCTCAAATTCTATATTATAAAAGTGAGTAATTTTTGATCCATTTCTGTGTATTTCAGACTTGACTTATTCATGTTTTAAATCCTTTTACATAAGGGAAAGAGGGCATTTCAAACTGTTAACAGAACTGATTCCACTGTAAAAAGTATTCTCAAACATATACATACAATGATGATGTTTTCTATTTCAATTGAATGATTCACATCTGGAACATATGACCAAAACAATTTGGCAAAAGCCAATAAGCTCTGTTTGCTGGTTACTCTAAAACACTTTTGTAAAGCCAATAAAAAAACTAACTTTAATAAGAAAACGAAAGAAGAAAGACATACACAGAAGTGGTAAGGGACATGCTTTCATGAGTTATTGACATAATGATTGTTCATTTTTCCAATTTAGGAATTCTTTCAGTTCTCGTAGTGAAGAAGATATGTGCTTGCAGCTTATTATTGGTGCCTGAAAAGATACATCACAAAGTTTTTACACATGCCATGATTGGTATAACATCTGGTGGTTTCAGATGAACTTGAGAGTTTTCAGATTACAGTAGTATGAATCATGATCGTTCTTGTCTGATACTATAGTCCCATAAATTTACTCAACGAGTAAATGGTTTTGGGTGGTTACAGTTTTCACTCTTTTTTTTTTTTTTTTTTTTGATCAAACCAGTTTTCACTCTTAAAGCTACATTTCTGTCACCTTGCTATATATATGGTGTGGTAAATGTTTATGTGGATAATCAATTTACCCAGTAAAATGCATATAAACAATATGCTGTTGCCCTTCCTTCTGTTTGTTTTTTTGTTACACTCTACAGTATTTGGTATCTTGAGCTTGAATACTGTTGAGGTAATTTTGGCTAATTCTTCTCTAGTTTTTGGTTTTTTTAATTCGTTGTTAACAATTGTTAGGTTTTGAAAGGTATATAGCTATTTTGGTAAAAGGACACACTGCAGAAGAGGTCCTCGGTCATGTTCATGGCAAACATAACAAAGGACAAGCAGAAGTGGGAAACAGAAGAAAGATAAAAGGTTTCTCTCTTCTTATGTTTTGGGGAAATACATGAAAGTGTACACTAAAGAACTAACAGAGTATATATGAAAATGAGTTGTGTTTCAATATTTTCTATACACTTTTTTAACGACAGTTTTAAATTTTGAGAAGCTATCAGGACTTAAAGTCACCTATACCTCTGATCCAGTTTCTCCAGCCCAGAATTCTTCCTGCAACTCCAGTGCCACTTGATAAGAGAAACTGCCAGAAAAACCAAAAAAAAAAAAAAGAGAGAGAATCTTAAAAATGTTATAGATTTAGAAACAAAGGGAAAAAAAATAGCCTAACAGATTGAATTTTAAGTTCTCAGAGATCAGAAAAGTAGAAAGTAGGAGATATTTACTCAAAATTATCCTTGTCTTCACTTTCGATTCCGGAGTAAAAATTCTGACAAAGACAAAAAAGGATTTTAATTTAGTTATGGCCAGGTGAATTTCTACATGAATAATAAAAGCAGGAGCAGCAGTTCATACCTCAGTGTTACTAATTCCGTGCTGTTGATCCCATTTTCGGCTTTTACCATTGTCACTCTTGAATTTGAACTCCGTGAAGTTACCAGTAAAGAAGGCAGAATCGCCATTGATCTGAAAGTTTTTAAAACCAATCCATAGCAATCAAAGAGACTTTGAATATAGCAAAATTCATCTTCTCTTTACAAGGACAACTAAAACATATTTCGCAACTACCTGGTCAAATCTTTCCCAAACCAAGTCTTGCTCCCTCTGATAGCCTTGATCAGTAACCAAAGTATAGAGTTTTTCGTCACGCTGCAATATGAGACCAAAGAAATGAGAATTAATCATCTAGAATGTTATGTATAAACTCTGTTGAAATCGCTTCTAAAACACATCCTGATTATCGATTTAAGAGACTGAGAACAAAAAAGAAAACACTACAGCTTTATATAATATAAGTAAATAACCTTCAGCATGGTAGAGAAGTGATTGTTGCGGAACAAGACACAAAGTTCCCATTCTTCAAGGTCATTTTCCAAGGTATAGAGCCTGGAGGAAATGAAAATCAATAATTATAAAGATAAAACCAATGTTACCGAAATCTTCCTGAGCAAACAATAAGATCACGCACCCATGCCAAGTTAATTGACTGGCACTATCTTTCAAGAATTCTTTGATCACTTTACCTGAAAATTCAACCATGGTGAAGTTTTCTAGAGAAACTCATAAAAAAAAAAGAATGGAGTTATCTTTATCCATAATAGATAATGCATGTGTAAGAATTTACCCTCTTCTTGCGTGAGCCCATTTCTATCCTTCCCTTCCGAAGAGCTTTGTCCAAGAAGTGACTCGACTTCATAAACTGAAGAACCTAAGCTTACACATCCCTCAGATTCAGACAGGGAGCCATCATCATCCTGGGATATGTCACTAAGATCTGAAAATGCAATGAGCTGGTTTTAGTAAGAAACTTCAAATCTAAACATATATCCAGATGCAAGTTCATACAGAGATACCAATGAGGCTACCTGCATTAACAAAAGTTGTAGCTTCAGACTTTAGTGGAACCTCAGAAATGATGTCATTTTTGGTTGACTCCAGTTTAGTCTTCTCCACAGAGATGGGCGCTTCGGAAGAAGTCGCATGCACTGCAGTCATTTTGCTGCTATTCTCAGTCTCAATATCACCAACCTTCTCATCTTCCAATTCCATTGAAGATAACTGATCATGTTCCTGCGCTACATTGCTCTTTGTAATTGACGTTGTCGAAGATACCTCTTCACTTACATTGGTCTTATTCCCAAGATCACAATCTGTCCTATCTTCTGATTCCGTAGAAGAAAACTGACCATCAAACTTGGACTGCTGACAGATATTCCTGCCAAGGGTGATAGTACAACCAGCTGCAGCGTCCACAGCAGTTACCAATGTGTCATCCTCAGAAATTTGATTTACATCCTCAGATCCAGACACAACCTCTCCTTCATTTGAGTCTCTGTGAGTATCAAAACTTCCCTTTAACGATGCTTCCATTTCAGATAATGTCAAGGCTTTTAGCAGCAGTTCCTCTTCTTCAGTATCTCCCTTTCCCAATCCACGATGCTCTGCAGACGCAGTAATCGACGCAGCAAAATCAACAGAACTTTGATCATTTTGAGCCTTTACAGTCTGTGTCTCCAAAGCAGTAAGCGCAATCTTTAAATCATCATGAGATCTGCCTCCAATTGCAGCAGCAGTTTCCAAATCCTGGAGGAAAAACAATCAATATCGAAACTTTTCCTCAAACTGAAGCAAGAAACACAATCAAATTGATGTACCTGGGGATCAACTAGCCATCCATGATACAAAGGAATCTTAAGTGAAGCAAATATAGCTAGCTCAGGTGTTAACTCAAAATCTGTAATGCTGCAAGCAAGTAAAACATTTTCGGTTATTAAGATAAGAGATTTTCTATGTAACATATTAACAAAAGGATTAACAAAAGGATTTAACCTCTCGAATTTTAAATCGACGATAATTCCATCTGCAAGGCGTTCGATGAGCTCAACATCAATGTACTCGTCTTCATCAGAAAGTATCTCGCCAACAAGATTCAGCAACTTCTCTTCAGATACTTGAGAATTGTGAGTGTCTAGATCAATTCCGTGTTTCAAGATAAGAACGTTACCTGTGACAAACAAATTTCAATAGTCTTGATGCATCTGAATCCATGAAAAACGAACCTAATCCACGATACGACTACTACAATTGTTCCATCAATTTCACAATTCACCAACAAAACCCTAAAAGATTTCAAGATACTGACACCGACATTTCCCAATTTCGTTCCCTAATCGAAGTTCAAAAACCCTAGCGAGAGCGAAATTAGGAGATGTACGTACAAATGGCGATGAGAGGACATGGTCCATTATCGTCCTGGAGAATGATATTCCTCGTTTGTCCACGATACTTAATCTTCTTCGTCTTGTAAAAGATTTTGTCCGGAGGAGGACGAGAGTAATCATCGATGGCCATTGAAGAAGGAAGGTTCACGACGATGAATCGCTCGAATTCGAAAACTGCAAATCGGAGAAGAAACACTTTGCTAACAAATTTCTCAAGAAGCAAAGAAAGTGAGAGAGCATGGGACTGACTTTCTTTATATAAGCAGCAGCATTGGGGGGAACGACGATAAACAAAATTGATTTTGACGAAACCGGAACTAACCAAGCTGTAATTAATATGGTTTTACTAAACCGGTCAAAGCTGACCCGTATAAATTGGCAATTATGTTATGCGTTTACATAATTTGATAGCGATGCCTAATGAGTAATGATACGAAGGCGAATAATTACTACTGGTAGTGGATACAAATTCTATCTATATATACATTTTTGGATGACTTTTAGCAAATAAATTCTGGAGTTGGAATGTATTTACGGATGAATGCCATTGGCATTAATTATTTAAATTTGAAAAATATTAATTAAAGATATTACCAACACGATTTCGAGAATCATAAATTCATATCTTCCTTAATTTTCTGAGTCATTAATGTGATAATCTTTAGGAAATATTTCTCTGTAAAAAAAAAATCCACATTAATGAAGGCATTAAAATCGACACTAACAATTAAATTATTTAGATATTCAATTATTTTAAGATTCTTATATCTTATTTGATATTTTTTTATATATCTCATTCTTTAATTACTGCGTTTATAATTTATTGGTTGTTACCTATTTTTTGGTGAAATTTATTGGTTGTTACTTAATAAGTAATTATAGTGCGTTTATTTTAGTTAATATCTAATTTAAAGGATTTGTTTTCTTTTATTATTAATAAACGAATAACATGTATAGAAATAAAAGATTTTTCTTGCGACTCCATAATAAAAATATTAAACTCTTATTTTCTACATTTCTTACACATAATATCCTCTTATTCAATAACAAAAAATATATATTACATATTTTTAAAAATATTTATAATATTTAAATTATATAAAAAGTTTGTAATATTAATATTATTTCAACTCTATACAAATTTAATATATATGTATATATATCTTATGGGAACCATTTAAAAGAAAATTTTAAATTGACTTGAATTATATAGCTTTTAAATAAAAGTATTATTAAAAAGAAAAATAACTAAATGATGTTTAATTTCACAGGACGGGTAATATGATGGGACGGGTTTGGGTTGATATTTATAAAAGATAGTATATCACGGGTGAAATCCTAAAATTAACAATCAAAATAATCTATCAAACAAATTACATTTTGATTTTTTTAAGAAAATATAGCCCCGCGGTGTACCGCGGGGTAAAATCTAGTAATAGAATAAATGGTAGTGAATATTTCTAATCATGGATTTTAGAGGCCAATCAATATTTTATCAGAAGATCTCCCGTCACATAATACTATAATAGAATAAAAAATTTATGAGATAAAAAACCTATGATATAACTGATAAAGCTCTCTTTTTTTTCATCTAAATTTTTCCATTTCATATAATGTGACTGTGAAATACAGGGTATGATACAATTTTGAAATATAAAACCGACGGAAAAAAAAAAAAAAAAAAAAAAAACAAGATCGTTGGAAATTTTATCCGAAAGAAAAGATCAGTGTTGGAGTTATTTGGAATTTTTTTTTTTTTTTTTTTGTTATTTGAAATTTTAGTTCAACTGTTTCACGCATAATTTATTTGTATTGAATAGTGACGACCTCATAGATAGCAGCCCCTTAAGGAACCAGCTTACGAAAGAGAATATTTTTGGATAATTGGATGTAAAACTACTCCTTTTAGCAAACCACACTTGCTTTTTTCGTCAACTATATATCGGCAGATGTTATAAAATCAATTACATTGATTCTCACGTAGTATTTTTTTCTTTACTTTTTTTTTTTTTGGTTTGGAAATGCTGCATTTCAAATGCATATTATTAACAAGCATTTTAAGTTTTTAAGTACGTTCAATTAGTGAAAAGGATGTGGTCCTCACAGCGTGCGACACCTGTTCCAAGATATGAAAGAATAAACAAGTAGTAACGTATTATCGTGAAAAGCATCCAATAGTGGATAACAACCACTTGCTTATGCAAAGCTTACAATAATTTATAAAAGATTTAAATCGTGGAAACGAATAAAGTAAAAGCTAGAAGGTGGTGGTTATAAATTGCAAGAAACGTATCAAACAAGAGGCGAAGATGACATGTGAAATTGAAAACATATACACGTGTTACCATTTTATTTGTGGCAAGGTCGTTGTAAAATAAAGATTTATTGTACGGACGGTTATTTATCACACGATCAAAGTTCTCTTCTTTTCATTTTTCGCATAAAGTTCTGTTTCATCTTTGGAAAATATAAAAAAGTTTTGTTTCAACTTTCAACTTCTCCTCTAAATCAAGAGGCTATTATAAGAAAAGTAAAAGAGCAAAGCTAATATATTACTCCTTCCGTTTCATAAAGAGTGTCGTTTTAAGGTTTTATTTTTGTTTCACAAAGAGTCGTTTTAGGTTTTCAATGCAAAATTTAATGATTTTTTATGTTTTATGACTATTAGTATTCTGCAGATTGTTTTACTATTGGGCAGATTATGTTTAGGTATATAGTTAATGATGTTTTTGTTTAGAAAAAACAAAAATTTTAATGTTTTCTTAATCTGTGTGCAAAACTCTAAAATGACACTCTTTATGAAACAGAGGGAATATGTATAAGGGTAATGTTCCTATCAAAGAAAATATATAAATATTACAGTGAGTTATGTAGAGTTATTTGGTAAATTTAAAAAGCAGATTATAGTAACGAAAGTGAATAATACTGTATCTCTTGATCAGATACATGTATAGACTTAAATATGTCCATAACTGACTGAAATAAACAAATTTATTCATTTTTGTGTCGAAATCTTTTACTAATTTCTTAAAATCTATATATACATTTTTGAATGACTTTTAGCAAATAAATCCTGGAGTTGGACCTTATTTACGGATGAATGCCATTGGCATTAATTATTTAAATTTGAAAAATATTACTTAAAGATATTACCAATACGATTTCGAGAATCATAAATTCATATCTTCCTTAATTTTCTGAGTCATTAATGTGATAATCTTTAGGAAATATTTCTCTGTAAAAAAAAAAATCCACATTAATGAATGCATTAAAATCGACACTAACAATTAAATTATTTAGATGTTCAATTATTTTAAGATTCTTATATCTTATTTGATATTTTTTTTAAAATATCTCATTCTTTAATTACTGCGTTTAGAATTTATTGGTTGTTACCTATTTTTTGGTGAAATTTATTGGTTGTTACTTAATAAGTAATTATGATGCGTTTATTTTAGTTAATATCTAATTTAAAGGATTTGTTTTCTTTTATTATTAATAAATGAATAACATGTATAGAAATAAAAGATTTTTTTTGCGACTCCATAATAAAAATATTAAACTCTTATCTATATATACATTTTTGAATGACTTTTAGCAAATAAATCCTGGAGTTGGACCTTATTTACGGATGAATGCCATTGGCATTAATTATTTAAATTTGAAAAATATTACTTAAAGATATTACCAATACGATTTCGAGAATCATAAATTCATATCTTCCTTAATTTTCTGAGTCATTAATGTGATAATCTTTAGGAAATATTTCTCTGTAAAAAAAAAAATCCACATTAATGAAGGCATTAAAATCGACACTAACAATTAAATTATTTAGATGTTCAATTATTTTAAGATTCTTATATCTTATTTGATATTTTTTTTTAATATCTCATTCTTTAATTACTGCGTTTAGAATTTATTGGTTGTTACCTATTTTTTGGTGAAATTTATTGGTTGTTACTTAATAAGTAATTATGGTGCGTTTATTTTAGTTAATATCTAATTTAAAGGATTTGTTTTCTTTTATTATTAATAAATGAATAACATGTATAGAAATAAAAGATTTTTTTTGCGACTCCATAATAAAAATATTAAACTCTTATTTTCTACATTTCTTACACATAATATCCTCTTATTCAATAACAAAAAATATATATTACATATTTTTAAAAATATTTATAATATTTAAATTATATAAAAAATTTGTAATATTAATATTATTTCAACTCTATACAAATTTAATATATATGTATATATATCTTATGGGAACCATTTAAAAGAAATTTTTAAATTGACTTGAATTATATAGCTTTTAAATAAAAGTATTATTAAAAAGAAAAATAACTAAATAATGTTTAATTTCACGGGACGGGTAATATGATGGGACGGGTTTGGGTTGATATTTATAAAAGATCGTATACCACGGGTGAAATCCTAAAATTAACAATCAAAATAATCTATCAAACAAATTACATTTTGATTTTTTTAAGAAAATATAGCCCCGCGGTACACCGCGGGTTAAAATCTAGTAGATTACAAAATCGGACGGTGAACGTTTGGAGAGAAGCGAAGATCGAACGGTGCATGAGTGAGTGAGTACCTAACCACTTACTTTGTCCGAGTCGAGCTGGCAATGGACAAGGATGCTGGATGTCCTCAGGTGGCACTAGTGAAACCCACTTTGACGGACACCGGATCTGTAGGTTGTCGGTTAATATAAACACGTGCCAAAATCTCCCCCATTACCTACACAATATCTCCTTCACTTAATTATGTTTAAGATGTAAGTTTACAATTAAACCAACAATATAAAATAATTAACCCATAAATCTCTCCATTTACCTAGAAAATAACAAAAATAACGCTCAAACTTTTTTAAAAGTGTGATATGAATATCTTTTAGGAAAATTCTCAAAAATAGCACAAAAATAAATTTTGGTACCAAATTTATCACATAATCTCTAAAGTTTCAAAAAAGCACAAATTTAATATTTAAAAAACTAATATAATTATTTCATTTGATTGATGTTTCACACGATTTCAAATTGTAATTAGTTTTATAATTCAACATAACTAGATAAGGGTAAATAGTTGTTATGTAAACTCATTAATGTTAATTTTAGAAATTTAAAGATTGTGTGATATAATTGTCTATAAAATTTGTTATTTTAGAGTTTTATTTTATAGTATTTCTCTATTTTTTTTTATTTTCTTACGAGTGCGAAAAGTTATATAAATTAGAATTTTTTTCAAACAACTGTATTGAAAATATAAAATAACACTTATTTTGAAACAAAATTTTAAATCTAAAATAACACTTTATATTAAACAGAATGAGTAGTATATTAACGAGGGGTTTTGTATGTATTATGATTAGGCGATTTAAGTTCTAATAGGAACTAATTGATAGCATGATTCTTATCCATGTCACACTTCATTGGAGATTATTCTTCCTCCTTTTACTTATTTTATTACTATTATAAATTGGCCTTCAATTTGCATTAGAGTTTTTACCAAAAGAAGAAAGAAATTACGTAAGGGTGCTATATCTAAAAAAAAAAGTGATGTACTACTAGGCAGGTCTAGGTTTATATAGACTACCATAGGCATAAGAGAAAATGGCAAATTTAAAGCAAAAAATAAGGCTATGATGTCAAATTTCACTCATAAAGAGAATAACTTTGGCCTCCCTCGCTCTCTCTCTCTTATTTTTTTTATGGTTCTCTCTCACCCCTCCTCCATCATAAATCTAGGGCTTTCCAAGGATCTCTATCACTCCCCCCTCCCAAAATCTCGGCTATTTTTTCTCTCTCCGCTCACAGAGAGAAGATAGATTATACATATAGAGAGACAGATCGATTCAAAGAGGGTAAATCTCGAAATCCATCTTCTGTTTGTGGTTGATCCATATTCTATATATAGAAAAAGGTTCAAATCAAATATTTTTTCTTCTTTTATGTTCTTGGTCACTTTTGCAGTTTGAGTATGTCTCTACTTTTTTGTTCTTGATCTGAACCATTATCCATATAATATAGTTCTAATTTCTGGTTACTATTCGTTTTATTTGGTTAAATAAATATTTTGTTTCTTGTGTGATTAATTTTAAACAGAAGATTTGGATAAAGAATAAATTAGAAGGATGGTGAGGGGCAAAACGGAGATGAAGAGGATAGAGAACGCAACAAGCAGGCAAGTGACGTTTTCGAAGAGAAGAAATGGACTCTTGAAGAAAGCCTTCGAATTATCTGTTCTTTGTGATGCTGAAGTTGCTTTGGTCATCTTCTCTCCAAGATCCAAACTCTATGAGTTCTCTAGCTCTAGGTATATCTCTTAATTAATTTTGTTTATCTACGTGTGCAAGATCGATTTACACTGATCAATTTTTGGATCCGATTCGACTAGAGGGGCTAATCCGGTCCCATTTTCACCTTAATTAGTAGATTCAATGGATTATTTGGTTATACGATGATAAAGATCTGATAGGAGAGTGATATAATGGACATTTTGCTTTTAGGAAAAGTAGTTCGGAGTAAGAATTTGGACTATACTTTTATGGGATTGAAATAAGTTATAGTTACCAGATTTTTATGGCACTATAACCTATGAAATATGTGTATATATATATATATGTGTATACTTGTTATGAGCCATCCATTTTTCTCTGTAGATGAGTTGATCTTTCTGACTTTCTCTATTTACCGAGATATTTTTGATATGGAAACAACTTTAATGCAGAGATATTTTTGATGTTTATTCACTTATAACAAATTAAGAAGAGTTTGGCTTCAATGCTAGCTATATATGTATGTAGCAAAATCTATGACTTTTGAATATATATATAATATATACATGTTCAAATTAGCCCTATATGTATATTATCAGCATGTTCATAAATTAGGAAAATAGTCATATTCAGAATTAACAAGAAATTTCCTTATTTAGATATTTCCACATGTTTATCGCTATGCTGTAATTTAATATAAATGCACATACAGTATGTGTGTCAGTAGGAATACTCATGATTTATGACAGATTTATCTACATGAACTTGTAAACGACTGAAATTAACAATGTTAGTTTTCATTATGGTTTGCATGATACATATCAATAAATATATTTGCACATGTGTGAATCAGGCATGGTGAGTTGATGATATAACATATTCTCATTCATGCGAGTTTACATGCTTCTTTTGTACTATATGTGTATGTGGATGTGCATATGTATGGGAAACTATATATGTATGCATGGATATGTAAAATTTAGCAACAAATTAAGAGTCATTTTGCTTCGCTTTTAACAATTAAATGTCTTTTGAGCAAACTCAAGAGAGGGTTAATTAACCACAATTAACTAGGTATTCTTAACCACATAATCCTTGTTGTCACTGCTTAATGATATTCTAAAGGTTTAGCTTATTAATTTCAATATCGATTTGAGCGTGTCCATGTGCATCTATATATACTTGTCTCTTTATATATATTGGTGTAGCCATGTAAAATATTGATGCATGATTTTGAATCACAAATCTTAAATACAATATTGCTATTTCCTTTTGAAGTAAAGAGGGAGCACTCTTTTGTTTTCATATAACCTAATAATTTGTTTCGAAAATAAATATGTATATACTCCCTCTATATCATAAAGAATGATTTTTGAGGTTTTATTTTTGTATCAAAAAAATTGATTTTCTATAAATTTTTATCAATTAATGTTAATAAATTGTGAATTTCAAGAATCATTAATTGAGAATTTTCAAATTTGATGAATTACTATTGGTTAATAGCTATGAGAATTGGTTTGGTATGAATAAATTGTGTATTTATAACTAAACATTAAATGTTTTTCTTAATTGGTGTGAAACTCTATAAAATCAATATTTTTGATACAGAGGTAGTATAATATATGCTCCTCGAAAAAAGATATCATATCCTAACTTTTGGGAACAATGCAACTAAGCCATATCTGCAGGATTCTCTAAGTTTCTCTTTGTTCACAGTTCCATTTAATCAAATATTTAAAGGTCATGATGATATATATATTCTAAATGCAATAAAGAAATGAGAATTGTGTTGATATAAACTCACATATTTATGTACTTTTCAGTTTTCACACATATATGACTACTTGATTTTGGTATTATTTACTATTGACTCCACACTTTCGTTTTTCTTTTTGTTGATTCATTTCATCAGTATAGCAAAAACAATTGAACGCTATCAGAGACGAATAAAAGAAATTGGGATTAACCATAAGAGAAATGATAATTCTCAGGTAAATTCTCATTCATATTTCGGGTTTTACATATTGTGGACGTATAATTTTTTTGTGTGTTCTAAATGTTTCACAGACTAAACTACTTTCACTTGACAGCAAGCGAGAGACGAAACATCTGGCTTGACAAAAAAGATTGAACAGCTAGAGACATCTAAGCGGTCTGAAACTCAAAATATCCTATGAGAAAAATCATTTATATAAAATTAGAAACTATAAGATATTTTGATTGTTAAATGATTGCAGAAAATTGCTTGGAGAAGGCATTGATGCATGTTCTATCGAGGAGCTGCAACAGTTAGAGAATCAGTTGGACCGAAGCTTGAGCAGGATCAGAGCCAAGAAGGTACTATATATTTATATAAGAAATTCACATTACATGTTCATATACATTCATACATACACACACTCATTTCCAATAATGATAAGTGAAACTAGGATTAAGAATATTATATATACGTTGATGAGAAATTTTTATGGTTACTTAATATGATGTAAGTTATAATATATGCACATGTGTTTGCGTTTTCAAAAATGATTTTACCATACAAATCTAGTCATCATCTGCACATGTAAAAGATATTTGTTAAAACCAAGATTTAATTTGTTTGTACGTTATAAAGAAAAAAAAAACAATTTGTTTATCAAAATTCAAAACCATGCATGTTGTTCTATTAAACAGCTAACAAACTGTATAACTGCGGTTTATGGCGTTCCATGCATGAGTCCTATATTTTATGTCTATGTGAATGATTTGCATGGCCTCACTCATATTATCATCATATCCTTGCACTAATGAGTATATATGCAAATGTCTCTATTCATAAATCTATATTTAATGTTGAAATTTGCTTACATCTATATGTATATTCAATTGTTTTCAGTACCAATTACTCCGTGAAGAAATTGAGAAGTTAAAGGAACAGGTAAAACAAAATTCATCCTTCAACTTTTTTTGCTTTCTCTAAATTTAGTTACATAAAGAATCATCCTCGTTCTCCATATTAATACTTCATAAAACTGTTCCTTGTCAAAATCTTAGGAAAGGAATCTCGTTAAGGAAAATAAAGAACTGAAGGAGAAGGTACATTTTAGTTTCTAAGTTTTTTTTTTTTTTTGGACAAGATTTTATCGTTATTTTATGAATATTATTAAATGTTATAATATGTTGCTGATTAGAAGAGTTTTGGTGAAATTGTGTAAATAAAAGTGGCTTGGAATGGGAGCACCAACAATAGCATCATCACAATCAACGTTATCATCATCAGAAGTGAACATAGATGACAATATGGAAGTGGAGACTGGTTTGTTCATTGGACCTCCTGACACAAGACAATTCATGAAAATTTCTCCTCAAAATTAATCTCACAACTTCTTCAAAAAGAATGTTTAACTATATCATGTATGCACTCTTTGTCTTTATATATTTTCGTCCAAAAATCTGAGATGTAATATTTAATATGTTCTTAATCAAGGAGTTAAACTTAAAATTTTACCTGTAAATTACGTTTCTATCACTTCTATATTTCACGTTTCTATCACTTCTATAGTTCTTCTATGAAAAAATTGGATATAAAGGGTAAATAATTAAATTATTGTCCATCTATGCATTATATATTTATAATTGATCATATATGTTTTAATATTTGTCATATATGTTTTAATATAATTAAAATCCCATTTTGTCCCTAGTTTCTTTAAATCTTGCTAAACTATAAAAAAAGTTTCCAAAATTAATTAGATTTCTTTCTAAAAGCAATTTGGAAAAAAATATAGGGCAAAAACAATATTTATTTACTTTCTAAATTTTTTGCCTAAATAATTCCAAATCTTCTTTTTATTTGATTTTTTTTATGGTAATATCTTCTTCGATTCTTTTGACGTCAACTTCTTCGATTTTATCTTTTGGTAGTTTTTTGGATTTTTTCAATTCTTTGGAGCTTGTATATATATGTAAAATTCTAGATTTCTTTGCATGTGTTGGATTATTGTAGACCTAAAATTTGTAGACATATACATTTTTCAAAATTTGTAGACGTAAGATTTCTAAACTAATTAGAATACATGATCTAAAGTTTGTAGACATAATCTTAACCTTAATATTCAATTTTATCAGATGTAATATTAACAATATTCAATTTCTTTATTTAAACATTTATTTTCCTTTTTTTAAAAAATAAATTCTAAATTATATAGAATTTGTTTTCTATTTTTTGTAGAATATATAAAAAAAAAACATAAGAATGTGTTTTTAACAATTTTAGAACATGGGTAAATTTTAGAAAAGATATTCTATTTTTTCTAGAAGAAAGAGAAAAGTATAGAATATGTATTCTAAATTTCGTAGAAATTAACTATCTAAATACCGTAGAACAAAAATATGTTCTAAATTTCGTAGAACATATAAAGTGCATAGAATACATTATCTAAATTTAATATAACATAAGCAATATGTAGAATACACATTCTAAATGCAGAATGTGTATTCTAAACTTCGTAGATCATATTTTATTTATCCAAAACGGTAACAAAACGATATATTTTCGACATTATAAGTATCTTCATGACTTTTTTTTTCATTTGCCTACAAATTGTTTGAAAAACTAGTTAAACCAACTACAAAGAGTAAATTAGAAAAATGTGATATTTAGTCCTAGAATGCATGGATGGACAATAGCTTAATTATTTATCCTTTATATCCAACTTTCTCTTCTATGGATGACTATGAGGGACTTGATTATTATTTACAGAATACCAAAATTACAATTGAACAAACCGAACTAAACCAAATCGGTTTAATTATTTAGTTACGTATTTACAAAGAGAATAACAATGATTAGCGACATAAGCCTTTAGGAGTGGGGACTCTCTAACGAATAAATTGAATTGCGTACTGTCGCTTTCCGTCGAATTTAATTCGGTTTGAGTCATTTCCTTTTCACTTTTTATTGTATAGTTTGCGTTTGTGTATTGCACTTTTGATATTCTCTCACTAATTCAATCATCATATTCACCATGTATCCTTCCTTTTGTAACACATTCAGTGCCGTGAGTTTCCAACTTTTTGGCCAATATGGGTTGTATCATTTCTTCTCGGAAGAAGAAACCGGCGACAAAAGGGTTGCCGGAAATCCGTCCTCGGTTCCATACTCTTCCATCAGAAAGAAGAATAGCTGAAGATGACGCCCCAAAGGTATCAGAATTGTTGAAGATGAGTCATGATAAGTTAGGTTCCAAGGAGCTGAAGAGAGAAGAAAGTGTTCTTGTTGTTAATGTTCATCCTCGCTCATCGGAATTAGCTGCCTCCGGTTGGCCACCGTGGCTTATCTCTGTTGCTGGTGAAGCCCTTGTCGGTTTGATCCCTGGCCGTGAATCTAACTTTGAGAAGCAAGAACAAGTCTCTCTCTTTCTCTGCCTTTCTTTGTTGATTCTCATCTGATAAAAAGACTTATTCTCTGTATTTGCAACAGATTGGGGGAGGAACATTCAGTAAGGTGTTCAAAGCTAGAGATCTTCTCCGTAACAAGACCGTGGCTTTGAAGAGAATCCGGTTCGATCTCAACAACTCAGAAAGCATCAAATGTATAGCCAGAGAGATCATAATCCTGCGCAAGTTGGATCATCCAAATGTCATTAAATTGGAAGGGTTGATGCTCGTAGACCACGATTCTTCAACCCTTTACCTGATCTTTGAGTACATGGAACATGACCTCTTGGGACTCTCTTCACTACTCGGTGTCCAATTCACAGAACCTCAGGTATTCTTTATTGCTTCTATTCAAACTCTTTCCATTACTTGGTGTCAAATTCTCAGGTACTCTCTTCTTCTTCTTCTTCTTCTTCTTCTTCTTCTTCTCTGTCAGGTTAAATGCTACATGAGGCAGCTCTTAAGAGGGCTTGATCATTGCCACACTAATCATGTACTCCATCGGGATATAAAAAGCTCGAACCTTCTGATCAACGGTAATGGAGTCCTCAAGCTTGCAGATTTTGGATTAGCTACGTTCTTCGATCCTCATAACAGTGTTCCCTTGACAACCCATGTTGCAACTCTATGGTATCGACCTCCTGAGCTTTTGCTTGGAGCTTCTCATTACGATGTTGGGATTGACTTGTGGAGCACAGGCTGCGTGATAGGTGAATTATATGCCGGAAAGCCTATTCTTCTTGGAAAAAATGAGGTAAGCAATTACATTCCAATCAGTCTTGTTCTTACCAGATAAGCATAGCCTCAGACTTTTTCTCTGTATTCTCATGTTAAGACAGACCAACTGCACAAGATATTCCAGTTGTGTGGATCACCTTCAGAGGATTATTGGACAAAACTAAAGCTGCAGCTTTCAACTCCACTGAGACCCATGTTTCCATATGGATCACATATAGCAGAGAGATTTAAACAGTTTCCAACTTCTGTTACTTCACTCCTAGAAACTTTGCTCTCAATAGATCCAGATTTTCGAGGCACTGCAGCTAGTGCTCTCAAGAGTAAGGTAAGTTTGGATTTTACATATTCCTAGGTAGAATGTTGGTTTGTTGTTCTTATGACTTCAACTGATTAAACTCTTCCACTGTCAAACAGTACTTTAAAACTGAGCCATTGCCTTGTGATCCATCTTGTCTACCAAAATACCCTCCCAGTAAGGAAATCAACATTAGAATGCGCGATAAAACTAGAAAACAAGCTTCACAAATTAGAAGAACAGGCGAAACTCAAGCTGTCCAGCCAATTCTAGCAGACCCTTCTCTCACAAAGCCGGTGCAGGTATCTCTACTCTTTAGGTTTCTTGAGTCTTTTGGCAGAAATATCTGAAATCAAAGTTATGTATATGCAGAGAAAGTTTTCAGATTCCAAGAGCAGAGACAGTTCATTTACAAAGTTTTATGAGGAAGACGAGACTTCCAGTATACCAGATCTTTCTGCTGGGAAAATGCAAACATCTTCGGACATGATAACCGAGGATGAAACTAAAGGGAAAGTCTCTTACACAGACCCATCTAGAGAAGAACAGAATCTAGGCGGATCAATGAAAATGGAGGAACGCATACCTTGGCCACTGAGTCCATCTAGAGTTAACCCAACAGCAATTCTGCCTAGCCTTTACGAGAATGGAACATCTTCGTCGGGAGGAGGACTAGGAATCAGACCCACTCTGATTGAGAATTATACTGTCATTTAGATTCAATATAGAAAAAATAGACAGATTCAAACACAAAATAAACATTATTGGTCAGTATCTTGCTTTTATTCCTCAAAAAATGCAGGGCATAACTCAGCCGTAAGAAAATACAATCCAAAAGGTACAAGAGTTCACTGATTTGGGAGAAAATTTGACAACTTCAAACCACCACATTATTTCAACGGTTGCCATTGAAGGGTTTCTCCAGCAAACATAGGGACGATCTCTCCGAAGGAGAAGTTGAAAACGTCTGGAACTTTCCAAGGTGATTTCTTCAGTGTGACCTTTGACGAGTTTCTCGGTAGGCCATAAAAATCAGGTCCATTGAAGCTTGTGAAAGCTTCCAACTTGTCAAGCGCACCCGCCTGAATGTTAAAGAGGTAAAAGTTATGAACATAAGTAAATCCCAAACTGCGAAAGTAAACTGTTTCAAGTTACAAAGTTTACCTCATCAAAGACCTTAGCGTATAAGGACAAGGCAACGGGAGCACTGTAAATACCAGCACATCCGCAGGATGATTCTTTTCTAGTCCGCTCATGTGGAGCACTATCTGTGCCGAGGAAGAACTTCTTGCTTCCACTAGTTACAGCTTTAACAATGGCTTCTCCTGTACAATGAAGTAAAAACAATGATCTTCCGAAAGCTGCTGAAAGAAATGAAATCTTAATGTTCTAAAGGAAAGTGAAGAACATACGATGTATTTCTCTTTTGAGAACGGGAAGACAGTAGTTGTGAGGTTGTAATCCACCTTGGAAGAGGGCATTTCTGTTGAGAAGGAGATGTTGTGGTGTGACTGTTGCACCCACAGACCCTATAATCAACAAAAGAGTATGAGCCAGGCAGATTAACAAAAACCAAAACACAAGAAATGAAATATAAGATAGTTACAAAACCTTCTTTGCAAGATTCAACAAAATTCACAGCATCCATGGTAGTGATGTGTTCCATCACTACTTTCAGTTGTGGAAGGCGTTGGATTAGAGGCTGCAGAACTGTCTCAATGAAGATTTTCTCGCGGTCAAAGACATCAATACTCGGATCTGTGACCTCCCCATGAACCTAATTAAAACATTCCTCAGAGAAGACAGTCTAAGAGACCAAAACACTAATCTAAATATGCTGTGTGATTTATTTACCAGCAAAGGCATGTTTTGTTTGACCATCTCCTCTAGTACCGGTAAGCATTTTCCAAAAAGGTCCGTGACACCATCTTGAGAGTTGGTTGTTGCTCCGGCAGGGTAGAGCTTCACCGCATAAACCACACCACTTTCCCCTAATAACGAGATCATATATGCATAAATTGAACAGTCGCAAGTAAAATCTCAATCTGAAAGATGAAAATGTATCTGACTAGTTTTGCAACATGATGGATGGACCAAGCACAAATACTTACTTGCAAGCTTGATCTCATCAGGTTGAGTTTTGTCAGTCAAATAAAGTGTCATAAGTGGATCAAAGCTGCTCCCATATGGCAAAGCTTTCATGATAGAATCCCGGTAAGCAACAGCAGCTGCAGTGGTTGTAACAGGCGGCTTGAGATTCGGCATCACAATCGCTCTCTTAAAAATACTCGCACTGCACACACCTTTTATTATCATGTACAGCAAAAGCATAAACGCAAACACAAGATTGTGACTGAGGAGTTCATAAATGACAAACAACAATGGTTCCACATGAGACACATATAACAAACAAAAAAAGTGGCTGCAAAACAAAGCAAACCAGGGAAAAAAAGAAAGATTGCAAGAAGTTAAAAGACCTGTGGGGAACAACAGCATGAAGAAGATCAGCGTCACGGAGATGAAGATGCCAATCATCAGGTTGAGTGATAGTGAGCTCCATTCTTACTGCTCTCGTCTTCACTTTGTTACAAGATCTGTCAAACTTCAACTTGTGAGATCCAAATCCCTACATAAAGAACAGCTGTCACAAGGAATTAAATAAAATAAAAAACTGGGTCACGTGGTTTGAACTAGAACAAGAAGACTCAAAGGAAGAGTGGTGTACATACACTACTAGTACAAGGAGAAACCAAAGTCTTTATCATCTCAAAGCTCAAGGCTTTGCAAGATTCACCTGTTCAAAACACCAATAAAGAGAACAAACACATTGTTCATTCGACAATTGATAAAGGATAAATTTGTCAATTCAATTAGAAAAACAGGGAGCGAAGAAGGTTAATACCGAGTTCACGAATCGAGTCGTCCCTCCTTTCACGCCGCCCAATTTCCCTCTTTTCCTTTTCAGATTAAAAATGACAGCTTTTTTTTTTAAACCCAGATTCCTTTCAAATTGGACCTAATTTTATTCTCCTCTGTTTATAACTATTACAAGAACACCTAAAAATCTAAAATTCCAGAAATCCTAAGACAACGATGAAGACATGAAAATTAAATCAGATAACACAATCAAACAATTGGGAACGGTAACAAAGATGAAAGTGTTGATGAAAGACCAGTGGCTTAACTTTAGATCAGAGCAGCGAATCGATGAGATCGATCTTCCATATTCAGTCTCAACAAAACCAAAATTAAACGTGTAATTCTGCTAGTTCTTCTCTTTGACCTTGACGAACAGGTACCAAACTGGGAATAAATGTAGATTGCGAAAGTCCAGGATCAGTTTTACAACGATGAACACATGGAAATTAAATGAGATCACACAATCAACCGATCAAATCGAACAATTGGGAACGATTATATTTGTTAAAATAAAATGACTTACACGCTCGATACCAGCCTCGATGGCCTGAGTTTCCGGTTAAACCGACTCGCTCGATGCAAAACCGATACCGAAGACAAGACTCCTTATCACTGGAAGTCCGAGTTCTGGGAAAGACCAGTGGGTTTTTGTCGGGATGTAGTACAGAGGATATTAGAAAGACCAGAACTATTCACACAATCACACAACGTATCTTTAGACCAGTGGCTTAAAGCAAATAATGAATACATAAAAGAGATGAAAAGAACTTACATCCAGAATCATACAATCAAACATCAGATCTACAAACAAACAAGAACAAGAACAAACGAATGATTAGAAAGAGATTTACCTTTTTTTAATAAGAAGATCGAACAGTGGCTGGGAACAGAGATCAAACGGTGGAATAAAATTAAAGTTCTTTTCTACAATGAAAAAAAGCGGTTGTTAGGTTTTGTGATAAAGAAATATATCAATGAGAGGATTGAAAGATCGCAAACATTGGAGAAGAAAACTTACAAATCTCAGCCGTTGGATATTTTTCTTTAAATCTGAACCATTGAAAAAAACAAAAGCATATTTTTTTTAAACGCTGATGATGTCAGCGTAAAGAGCTTTTTTAATCTGAACCGTTCAATATTTTATTTCCTTTAATCTGAACCGTTGAAAGATGCTGATGACGTCAGCAGACCCATATACAGATAATAGATTCAGATGAAAAAAGACAACTTTTATTGGGTTTTTTTGGTGTTTCATGATTTTTTTTTTTCTTTTAGTTTGGTTATTCCTGAATTTTGTTTCTTGCATGGACTACAAATAAATAAGAGAAATAGCAACTGAGTATCGTTTCATTACTCGAACCGTTCTTTCATTGGCTCAGCCGATATGGACCCGCGTCATATTCTTTCAAACGTTACAGATATAATAATTAAGATCGAATTTCACAGAGTTTGATGTCCGAATTGCTTTTTCCCGGTGGGACTTTTATCCTTCTAATGGAGCTTTTCGTTACATTTCAACGCCGGCTAAGTAAGGTGAAAAGAAAAGGCCAATTCAAGAACGTTAATACTCTGTTTTTGACATGTTCCATATATTGATATGTTTTCCATTTTTGATATCAAAGATTCTCCAACAGTGAAAATTGTTTTCCCAACTCTCGCCGTTGCATTAGCCATCGTTGGATGTCTTTTATTGGAGGAGGAAGAAGAATGACGGATCCAGAGAGACTTACCAAGAAATTGATAGTTAGTCTCTTCATTTTTTTACCAACATCGAAGATTTAATATTTCTTTCTTTTATAGTTGCAGAAGTTGATGCTGTGTCTCCAAGGAGAATAGGCTCGGGGGAGGTGGATTTGGTCCAATGTACAAGGTAAAAAAATGAACCTGCATTTGATCGTTATTTTCGCTTGGTGATATATATCGAATTACCTTTTCATATATCACCAATCGATTGTATAGGGAAAGCTTCAAAATGGTCAAGAAACAGCGTTTAAGAGATTGGCTATACGTTCAGGACAAGGAGAAGAAGAATTCAAAAACGAGGTTCTGTTATTATCAAAGAGAAGCTTCTCATTTATGAGTTTGTTCCCAATTCAAGCCTTGATCATTTCATGTTCGAGGTTGCTAAATCGAATTAAACAAACCAGTAGATTTTACATCTTTAAGGGCTAATTGGAGCACGCAGTAGTACAACATTATCGTCAACATAGCTCAAGGGATTCTCTATCTTCATGAAGATTCTCGTCTCAAGATCATTCACCATGACTTGAAACCTAGTAACATCCTGCAGTTAGATTATCAGATGAAACCTAAGCTTTTCGATTTTGGAATGGCAAGATTGTTAGATTCATATGGTCTGACACAAGGCTTAACAAGAAGCAGAGTCATGGGAACCTATAGACTATAGTAAGTTCTCGAATATAACTTACCGATGATTCTTTTACCTCAACATTCTTATACCTTCTCATGTACAATAGCTTTCAACCAAACGGTGTACCTTCTCATGTACGTAAACTTGAGTCAATTAACTTAACCAACAAGCATTTACTCTCTTTTGAGTTACTAATTTTAATTTAAAAACCGGTTTATGCCTGGATAAATTGGCGTGCGGCGAATCGAGCCCTGGACATTGTAGATTCAGTGATCACAAAGAATATTTCAAGAAAAGAGATGATGAAATGCATTAACATAGGACTCTTATGTGTTCAAGAGAGTGTAATAAAAAGACCAAACAGGAACTCAATAGTAACTCTCTGACTCTTCCGATTCCATCAACACCTGCGTCTGTTGTCCACGACGATTCAAGTGAAGCTCCTCGAGTTTCACAAGTCAAGGTTTCAAACTTTCAATCACTGAGTTTGAGCCACGTTAAAGATCGGTTTAATCCGGTTCAATCGTGTCTGCTTCAGTAGATAGGAAATAAGAAATCAAATAACTAAACCGAGTAAACCAACGGAATTAAATTGAACCGGTACTAAACCGGATAACTTTGGGTTCGACAACTACAGTACATGAGTTAGGTTCGGTTAGAGCCGAATCTGTGTCATTTTGTCGCAACGAGATGGCTAAGTTATCCAAAAGACGGTTAGAGCCAGTTGTTAGCCCCACCATGACGACACATGGGGAAGCTCATGCAAAGATTAAGAAGAACACGTGGCACTCTCTCGTGTTCAGAAAATTTCCAAAAGAGCGTTCAGATTTGGGCACGGAAGTGTGAAACGTGAAGCAACGAATCCCTTTTAAACACAAGAACCAACCTTATACGCATCACAAAAGAACCCTAAATTCCAGGAAGATTGAAAAACCAAATCTTCAAGCAAAGGAAAAAAAACTCAAAATTTGGGTCTTTTATTTCTTAAAAAGTTACAAGCTTTTGATTGTGGTTTCAGTGTACGAACACGCAAGAAATCGCGTGAAAAAATTGTATCCAAGCTTCGGAGAAGATCTCTCTGTATTTAGTGGTGCTTTGTTTCTGTTCTAATTTCTGAAAAATTGAAGCTTTTGATTTGGTTTCAAGAGAGCAGAGAGATGTGTAGTTTGTCGGCGAATCTGTTGCTACCAACGAAGCTGAAACCAGCTTATTCAGACAAACGGAGTAACAGTAGCAGCAGCTTACTCTTCTTCACCAACAGAAGATCCAAGAAGAAGAATCAATCGATTGTTCCCGTAAGGATTTGTTCTTATTAATCATTTTGAAAAAGGAATTTTTATGTATTGATGGAAGTTCTGTCTTTTCTCATCTATGTCTGGATTCAAGGAATTTTGAGTGCCTACATATGAATCTTAGCATCTAAGTAACAACATATTCGAATAATTTGAGAGTTTTGTTGCAGGTGGCAAGATTGTTTGGACCGGCGATTTTCGAATCATCCAAATTGAAAGTATTGTTTTTAGGGGTTGATGAGAAGAAGCATCCTTCAACGCTCCCTAGAACTTACACACTCACTCACAGTGACATTACAGCTAAATTAACTTTAGCTATTTCTCACTCCATAAACAATTCTCAGGTAAAGACACCTCTCTCTCTCTGGTCTTAGCATATCTACACACACAAACAATGCATAGTAGTACTCTGTTTATATGGAGCAAATATTAGAGGCTTATGTGTGATTGTTTTAGCCTATGTATGTTTCTATATTTACCACAGTCTTTAGAGGCTGATATGTATAGCAATGTTGTGTATAGTTGCAAGGATGGGCAAATAGGCTATACCGAGATGAAGTTGTGGCAGAATGGAAGAAAGTGAAAGGGAAGATGTCGCTTCACGTTCATTGTCACATAAGCGGTGGCCATTTCCTTTTAGATCTCTTTGCAAAGTTTCGATACTTCATCTTTTGCAAAGAACTACCAGTGGTAAGTTCTCAAATTCAAAAGAAACTTTTTCTTATTGGTTTCATGTAAAAATTGTTGAAGGCTTTTGGATATATATAGGTGTTGAAGGCTTTTGTGCATGGAGATGGGAACTTGCTGAACACTTACCCTGAGTTACAAGAAGCTCTTGTTTGGGTTTACTTCCATTCTAATGTCAACGAGTTCAACAAAGTCGAATGTTGGGGTCCGCTTTGGGAAGCTGTTTCGCCTGATGGTCACAAGACTGAGACTCTTCCCGATGCTCGGTGCGCGGAAGAGTGTAGTTGTTGTTTTCCAACCGTTAGCTCGATTCCATGGTCTCATAGTCTTAGTAATGAAGGTGTAAATGGTTACTCTGGGACTCAGACTGAAGGAATTGCTACTCCTAATCCGGAGAAACTCTAGTGATTAAACATCAAACTACAAGTTTTTCTTTTGGTTTCTGGTAGTTTGTATAAAAGTGAAAAGGAAATGGCAGGTCTTTCCTTTTGGTGGATCTAAATATTGGTTTGGTGTACATAATGTGGTATAGGAAAATAATGATTATCTGTAGGTTAAATACAAAAATTTAAGTTAAAAATGTTTGATACTTTGTGTCTACTCTTTAAGTCTTGACTAATCATAGTAGTATTAGTATTAGTATACTAGGTAGTATTTCATCCACAAGATCAAAATGTAAGTTTGCCACAATTTATCTATATTAAAGATATAGTACTGCAACATAAAGATGAATAAGTTGTTGTTTCATGAAACTATATATTTTTTTTAATATGAAAACATTCATGAGAATCATCACCAATATAAAAATGCTAATATCCGAAATAAGAATAGAATTATATCTTTAAAAAATATGAAAACATTCATGAGAATCATCAACAAAGTAAAGTAATATAATAGACGTATGTATATTAAGGACCGAATTCGACGGTGTAACACATGAGAAACAAAGGAGAAACGTGAAGGTAAAGAGATGGCAAAAGACTTATTAGTCTATGGTGGTTTTACAAAGCGTATCAGCCACTTCTTGCTTTTAATGTATCCAAATCATTTTCTTGGATTTATTTGGTCTTTTTCTTCATATCTTTTTCATTTTATAACCAAATAAAGATGACTTTTTTTTTCTCTGACCCCATTCGTCTATATCTAATTTACGACCAAATACACCAAATACAGAAAGAGAAGAAGGACAAGTAATATAGAGAATGGGCAACTGAATTATTGCATTATTATTATTATGGGCTCATTTTATAAAATGTTGTGTTCGTAAGTAAATAAATACAAGAAACTATATTTGATATATGAAATAAAATTGAATAAAGATATACACTTTGGAAAATTTTGGAGAAAATGTTGCGCATCTTGATGAAACCCAAAGATCGTGAATAAATCAAAAGGGTTAGATCTTTTTGCATCCGTGAGTGTAAAAGAATTTAATGACTCTCTCCCGTGTGAAAAAAAGTTGGTTGAGACGACCAACTCAAGCTGGCTGCTGAAGAAATCAAGAATTTATGACTTTGTCTTGTGTGTTTTGAATTGAAAGAAACCTTTCACCGAATTGTTGTTCTACCAAAGAAAGACGACCCGATTTCACTATCCGTATTCTGAAACAGAGCCAAAAACATTGAATTCGTTCATCGGAAAATAGTATTTTCGGATCGTTAAGTTATTATATAAGTAGAGATTAAGTTGGTTTTTTACCTGAGATTTTGGGGATGGGAACACATTCCAGAACCGTAAGGTTTCATCTCCTGCTCCTGTTACAATCGTCTGTCCATCGGGTGAAACCGCAAGGTACAGGACGCGGTATGTGTGACCAGTAAGAGTTGCAATCTGAACAAACGAAAAAACATCTGATAATGCTCGATGATGGAGACTAATGTACAGACACAAAGGTCATAGAGATTTCATACTTTGGACATGGTTGGGTATTTCCAGACAATGATTTGGTTCTGAGAGTATCCATGTGTGCTAACTAGCTCGTTTACGTTCTTAGACCAAGCGAGATTGCATACCTGTAATATGCAAGGACAAAGATGATTACAAACCATGAAATGTTGGTTATGTTTTGCGAGTCATGTCAAGTTTAGAAATTTACCTGACTGCAAGTATCTATGGAGCTTAAATGAGTGTTCGTCGTTGTATTCCAAAAACGTATGCACCTATCAGCAGTTCCCCCACCAGAAGCAAGAAGCCCATGAACATGAGGAGACCAAGCAATGGCTTTCACCGCTGCAGTGTGTTCACTATATTTTAAAACCGGTTGTGTTGAATGTTGGTTCCATACAAAAAGCTGCAAAAATTTATAACCATTTTAGCCATTTTGGGGGTTAAAAAGAAGACTAACGTAACCGCAAATGAAGAAAGTAATCATAGTACATACCCGATTGTCGTTGCCACCAGATGCTAACTCTCTGTTGTCATAAGACCACTTGAGTCCGCATACCTCAGATTTGTGACCTGTCAGTTTACTGACATGATCTTCTTGACACCTTATGTCTCTCTGAAGAATACTCTTGTCTCTGCTACCAGATGACAGAACCGATGAACCCCATGCCAGGGCTCCAACTCTTAGACGATGACCTTCCATTGTTCTTGTCCTTTTGCAGCGCGACGCATCCCATATCTACCAAAACACAACTAAAGTGAGTATTCCATAAAAAGAACATAAAAATTCCTCAGATAAATGAAAACCCTATTCGCCAAGTGCAGATACTTTTCATCATAACCACAAAGGAGTTAGCTTCATTGAAGGCAATTTCCAAATACATACTTTGATAATGCTTTTATTTGAGCATATCTTCTCGATAAAGAAAACATCTTTATAATAATCATACCACTAATGATCAAGATAATACCAGTAAAAGATAAAGCAGGAATCCTACAGTCCATACGATAAGGTCTAATCATGTTGTAACTGTAATTAGTTTACTTAAAAATATTTCTTCCAAATTCAGAAAGTTGAAAAGTAACGTAAATTTGTAGTTACACATAAGCATAGGCCTAAAAGTATGTAACAGGACAAAAACACAGAGTAAATGAGATCTAACCTGAACTTTCCCGGTACTAGTTCCAACAGCCAGATGAGTTCCACGTAACGCCCAACCCACTGAGCAAACACTATCCTCAGCTCCGAGATCACATAACTTAGTTACCTGTTGAATTTCAAGGAAGCAATCAACATCAAAACAATTAGAAACTAGTATGAATTATTCGAAAATTTTAAAATGACAAAAAAAACTCACCTTGCTGCTACAAGCATTCCATAAATAAACGCAATTCCCTAATCCCACTGCAAGAACATTTTGTGCAGACCAGTCCACGAGATTCAGATAAAAATCATCTTGCAAGGCCGGTGCATCCAATACCTAAACAACAAAAAGAAGCCTCTGTTATCATCTGTAGTAACATTGCCCATAAACAAATATCCAAATCCAATAACAACATCAAGCTCTGCACATTTACAAACACACTAAGAACTATCTAAAGAACAGTAAACAACAAACATTCTTCATCATCTAGATCACTCTAGTAATGACTACAAAAACCTCTGTTATCAGCTGAAGCAACATTGCCGACTAACAAATACCCAAATCCAGTAACAAGATTTAAGCTTTGCTCATCTACAACAACACTAAGAACATTAAACAACAAGCATTCTTCAATACTGGTTTCATCTATATCACATAACCCCAAACTCCAATTCTAGACCATCAGAGAGCAAAACATCACCAAGATCACAAATTATTCCATGTAAAAACGAAATCAAACATCAAAAGTCAACAAGATCAAGAATCTAAGCTCCCCAACCGCCAGAATCTGCAGACATTGCACAAAAACCCATCAAAGAAAAAAATCAATTTCACACAATGCACACAAACCACTTAAAAAAAAACAAGATATGATCCAGATTCAATGATCAAAACACCAAAATCAACACAAAATCAACAATGCATCATCCCCAGAAATCAAAATCCTCACTTTATACGGCGATCGCTGAACTTTCCTGGGAGCTTTAACAGGACTATGACAAACACCAGGAGAATCATCAACACCAAAAGGAGAAAAAGAATTCAAAGACCGATGCGTCTCCGTCTTAAACCTGAAAATATTCCTGGAAGAAGAGAACCCAGTAATATCTCTCTTCTCCGGCGTCTCTGGTCCAAACATGGCCGCACGCAACAGAGTAGCGTAAGAGCCAGCTCCATCTTCCTTACCATCTTTACTCGGAGAAGGAGATAGATCGAAGAGAGCAAAATTGGATCCGGATCTACTGGGAATAAATCTATCCGAGTATATAGACCTTGATGGTGATTGAGATTGATTAGCATTGATTAATCGATTGATTCGTGACTCAAGTGAAACCACCGGAGTATTCATCGCCGGCGATAGATTTCTATGAGATGAAGAATTCGAATTCGTTATCACATTGCTTGCGCTAGGATCTTCTTCTTCCATGGTTTTTTTTTTGTTGACTCTTTTTTTTTTTTTGGTTCGTCTTCAGATGTAACAAAGGCTTTTTTGTTGAAGTGTTGTTGAAACCTCTCTTTGTCCTTTTTATTGAAAGTTTTTTTCTTTTTTAACTTTTTACCTTTTTGCCATTTTATTTTTTATTTTTTTCTTTTTCCCGGGAAATCTCAGGCAAAACAGAAAACGACATGTGAAGTTATGCGATTTTAAGCGGTGAGGTTTCAGGTGAGGACCGTGAGGTTTAAGCTTCTGATTCAATCTTAATCGTTGGATTAAGATCTTAAGGTTTAATGGGCTTTAAGATGGGCCTATTTTTTACCCATTTTGTTGAAAGCAGTTCAAACTCTAGTGATCTTATAGAAGAATCTTAGATGGCAGGCGTTGACAATATAAAAAATAAATAGTTGATAAATGTTATAGATCTAATGCCAAATCAAGCCAAAACATGCTGATTTTATATATTAAAAATTAGATCTGATTTGTATTGAATTGGTTTTTAATTTCATATCTAAGAGACTTGTGAGATACAAAAGTAAACATAAATATTAAAGATATAGTAGAAAATTTTCCAAAAGGATATAAACTAGTCAAAAAATAGTTCAATGAAATTTTAGAAAAAAACTACACTTATACAGTAATAAGAAATTAATTTTAATTTTTTCTAATAAACTAAAACACTAAAAACTGAAAAGAAAAAAAAATCTTAGTTTCATATCTTACAGAATTGAGATACAAAAAAAAAAAACCAAAAATTAAATATTAAAGATAGAAAATAAAATTTGCCAAAAAATAGTTAAAAATAATCCAATCAAATATATAACAAAACTATAGTTATAATTATTTTTTGTCAACTATAAGAAATTGATTTTATTTTATTTTATTTTTTCTCAACACTAAAAAAATGAAAGAAAAACAAAAACAAAATCTTACTAAAATAAGTAAAAATTGAATTGCAAGTTGCAATGAAGGTGGTGATTTGTTTATAATTCCGCACTTCGCATTAACAATAGCTTACTGGAGAAGATGCTTGTTGATGTGTAGGTGGAAAATTCTATTAACTTGTCATAATACTGGAAAGATATATTTTCTTCACGAAATGAAAAAAAAAAAAAAAAAAGCTTACAGTATGAAAGTAGGGGGGACTATCTGATTTTTTTTTATAAATTGCATAATTTCACTGACCATAAGATATAAAACATATAGACCATAAATAATTTTTTAAAAAATTAAAAAAGAGAAAATTCTCCATTAATTCTGTAAAAGCCTTTACTTTTGCAGAAGATAAAAAGAAAACAAAAGATTATAGCTGCTTAAACAAAACTAAAAAAATGGACGAAAATTCATTTTGAAGCTATTGAAAACTATTTATCTTAAGATACTCAATTAACACAAAAAAAAAAAGAGGAAAAATCAGAAAACAAATGATAATTATGGATAATTACTATTCAAATGAGTGTTTTTATACCTATCATCGGCAATTCTAGGAAGAGTTCTAGTTCCAGGAGCAGTAGGAGCTCTAACATGACCCACCATTGAAACCTGAAGAGCTTCTTCTTCATAAGCTCTTCTCTCCATTTCTTCTCTCATTGCTTTCTTCTTCACCTTCACCAGCATCGCCACCACTAACATTCCCAGCAGAATTGCTCCAATCCCTGACCCAATCACACTCCCCACCGCCACTTTCCACCGGCTCAACTTTCCTCCTCCGTTGCCACCATTCATCTCCGTCGATGACGTCACCACTCCACCACCACCACCGTCATGATCATCTTTTTGAGCTTCTGTCTTCATCACGAGAGCGTAATGCCCTTGTCTTGTCCCTTTACATACATACGGCGAGACTTGCTCACTAAACGTTGTGTTAGCGTTACTTGTAAAACACGCACACAAGACTGACGAGTTCTTCTTCGTCGTCGTAGGGTTAGGGCTAGTGTTATTAGTTGCCTTGTTGCTCAAGAAATCGACTAAAATTGGGTTTTGATCGGTACCTACAACGTTAACCTCATAAGGATTCGTGGCCACACCGTCAGGGTTAGCATTATAAGCCAATAAACCAAGAACCGGTGACACGAGCTGGTAATTATAACCGGATAAGTTATAACCAGTAGAGTAGATTGAGGACCAATTCAAACCAAGGTTTTGTCTAATTAGCATGACTCTCTCCGGGCATGGCTCCACCGTCACTCCTGAACCGATGTGAAACTCTCCAATTTTTGCTCCATATCTTCTCAAACTCCCACACCTTAACTTGACCGTGTCAATGTCGATACCAGAGAAATTAGAAGGGAGATGGATTTTCTGAGTGATGCCTGTGTTGAGATTGAGCTTAAAGTTTCTAATGGTGTAATCTCTAATCATGAGATCAAGGAGATGTGTAGATTGAATCGATTGAGACTCAGATTGGTGGAATGATAATAAGAGAAGTATGATGATGATACAAAAAGAGAATGAATCCATGAGAGGATCAAGAGAATCTAGGGTTTACAGAGGAAGTGAAGAAGAGGAAAGAAAGAAAAGTTTTGATTGTGTTTTTACTTTTGTGGGGGATGTGTTTTTAGGACAGACCATTATAAACACTTACACTTCATTTGTCAGATTTCTCTTTTACCTTTTTAGAAGACATAATAATTGTTAAATAAGCATATGACCGTTCTAACGTAGAGGGTTTAAAATTTAAAATGTTTTAATTGATAGGTCTAGTGGAGGAGAAAATTGGATTAATGATGATAGAGGCATGGGAAGATGATTATCATGATTACACTTCTGTGTTAATCAATTTCATGATAAAAAAAAATTTTGTAATCTATTTTTATACCAAAAAAAGAGAGAGACATTGGCGTGCTAATGTTTTGTGTGACTTTATCCTCTTTTGTGTAATGTTGTTGTTACCTTTGTCTGTCCTTTCATTATATATGTTCTTGACTTTAGCTCTCTTCTCAATCAATCTCTTTATGTTACTCACCATTTCAAAATTTTGACTCCCAAATTCACACTATGCATTTCTCATACTTGTTGAATTGTAGAGCATAATTTCTTGTTAAAGCGGTAAAGATTCAAACCCGAGTTTAGGGTAATTGATCTTCGCGGTTAAATCCAAACTTTATTGTACTATTTATTTAGTAAACAAAAGAAAAAAAAAATCAAAACCAAAGTTAATTTAAGTTGAATTTGTAATGTTAATGGTTTTATTTTCTCTATGGAGATAAACTTTTCGGATAAATCGTATTCGGCTTTAAAGTTTTCGGATTTGGTCTTTCATATAATATTTCTCTTATTGTTTACACAATACTTACAAATCAGAAAACATGTGAAGGAGAGAGAGCTAACATGGAAGATCTTGCATATACATTAACTTCGAATCTATTTTGCTTCTGACAAAACCCATTCTTCTTTTTCCATCTTCATCTAGCTGGAAAATCAAGTTTTATTTTCTCAGATTTCCATGTATTTTAAAGGGATAGTAACTAATCAGAATTTACTATAAATGAGATGTGTACCTCACAGGGTTTAAGCTTGGCTTCCTTCTGGCAATGTGATCAACCGAGAACCCGAGTCATACACCATCGCGGTTCCACAGCTAAAACCGCGAAAGAAACAGAGATAATTAAAGATTTGGATAGTGTTATATGTCAGAACTTTTGAAACCAGATCTTAGGTTAAAATCTTACTTGGAGCATTTGACAGCGTTGGTTTTGCCACCACTGGAGATTGACAGAATAGTTCCAAAGAAGGAGGTGTTTTCCGTTCCACAATTCGGACAAGGACCCTATGAAACAAGAACATTCATTAAGGACTCTCTGTTGTTTTTCTTTTGCAATCTTGAGTAATGGTTCTTACCTTCAAGATCAAGAAGTCTTTGATGATCAGTTTGGTGATTGATAAAGCCAGATATACAATCACAGGCACGGCAGCGAACCACGTGAATATGAAACTGTATGGTTCCGAAAGCTCCATGATGTATGTGATCTCAAAACCTGTAATGTCGTCGAGGAAGAAAAAGCTGCAAGTACACAATTGAAAGAACATATATAAGAAAAGAAAAACTCAGGGTTTTCTATGATTTGAATGTTCGAATAGAGAACTCGGTATAGAGACTCACAGTCCGAGAGCAACAACGGTTGCTGGAACATTCAACAATAACATTTTGAAATAATCTACAGCGAGATCACTATACACCTGCATTTGAGAAAGTTCACAAAGACCGTAATTCAATATCTTCCTAGGGTCTAATCTGAACAATGAATCTTATAATATATTTACCTTTTTACTGCGGAGACTGCATCTTGGACCCTCGCACACAATTTCGCTACCATCAATCTATATGAAAGCAGAAGGAATTATAGAAGTGAAGCTTAATAGCAGATCACTAATTTGGTTGAAGCATAAAAGGAAATGGAACCTTTAGTTTCAGTTTGAGCTTATCATATTCTTCATCATTCAAGATTGGTTTTCCAGAAACATAAGCCATGGAAGCTTCCAAGAACCTTTGTTCATCGGAACCTGTGTTTCATAAAACCAATCAAAGATCAGGACTTTACCACCTAAGAAACCAAAACAAAGATATGAAATTTTGAATCTCATAGTTGATGATTACTTAGCATCACAACACTGCTTCCTTCCCACATCAACTCATCTTTAAGGTTATCAAACTCTTCATTAGACATGATCGCTTTGCCATCGTAATAGAAAGACTGTAAGAAAAACACAAAAGAAAGAAATTCTCAGGCTCTGGAAGATTATATGTATCATGTTTTGGCAACTATAAAAAGGATGGTTTATGTAGCGTTACTTGCATCGCTTGGAGAAACTCTTGTTCCATTTCACCAATTGTCTTCTTCTCAGCCTTGTTGATGCTACAATAAGGCAAAACATTGCTATCCACGTTGTCTCCTCCCCCTGTACCTTGACCAAAACCAAAGACTCTAATTCAGAGCAAATATAAAGTTGATACTTTGTAACTCTTGACATTGCAGACATATAGAACAGAGATAAACTCTAAACAATGAAAGGAAGTCCAATACAAACAATCTTTGGTAAATCAGAATTATAATAGCCAATGAATCAATCAAACCCACCAAGAATTTAGTGACTGAAAAAACATAACTTTCAGAGCCAGAGACGTTGAATTCAAAGAATTTACCCAAAATTCTCAAAGGCTACAACTTTGGAAACTCCGTTGTGAACAAACTTGAAGCCAATGCTTTTATAAACATAAAACTAAGGCGGAGAGAATCGAAAATCAAGACTTAAAAGAGGCAAAGTCAAGACCTGATTGCTCTGTTGTGGCTTTAGCAGGCAACAAGAAAACTCTTCTTCTCAAAGAAATCGATTTTGCAGGGGTGAGCTGGGCCCATTGAGTCCTCGACGACGACGGAGAGAAAGAAGAGGTGGGTTTGAGAGAAACGGCGGAGAAAAGTCGAGGACTTGTCAAACTAAACAACATCTTGCTACCCATTTTCCCTGAGAGATAGATAGAGAAAAGGAGCTCCTTTTCCTCTGTTTTTTCAGTAAGTATGAACCTGTGGTCGAAGATATGTTACTGTGACCTTCAGGTTTGTTCTGATTTTTGAGTTTTTTTTTTCTTTTCTAAATTATTATTTTTGACTGTTTAGGAATTTTGGAGGGAAGAAATTAGGAGATAAGAGAGGTGTGGAGATGAATTCCTTGGCAGATCTCTCTTATTTTTTTCCTTCCTCTCATCCTCATAAACAGAAATATCCACGTCAGCATTAAATATCAAGTTTTTTTATACAAAATAAAACTTTAAATAGATTATAAAGAAATAATTTTTAGGCTTTGATTATACAAATAAATACTGTAAGAAGATTTTTAGTAAAAGTTGGTAATTTTTTTTTGACAATATGTAGTATGTGAATTTGAATTCGGCTGATGATATACATTAGCACAAACCATTAAACTATAAACAGAATAAATATTAAAATAAAATGAGCTCCAAAGTTAAAATACAAACAACATGATTAAAAATTTTCGAAAGAATTATTGATCCATTATACAAATGTCTATTGAAACTGAAAACCACTCAAATTGTTTTGGGGAATTGCATCAAAAAAAAACTATTGGTAGAAGAACTAGTAGAGGTGAACACGTGGAGGCACGATTTAGCCACGTGCACACAGACGACGAAGAACGCCAAGTCCAATACTAACGTTGAATCGTTTGATAGCGATTGGTTTCATTCTATTTGGACTTTTGGTGGGCTTTTATAATTTACCAGTTTGCAAGCCCATAGAGTAGAAATCTTTTTTGACCGTTGGATCATATGCGGGATAAGAAACCAATCAGTCAACACAACCATCCTCTCCCGTTGACCGTGAAGTGAGTCACGTACCTACCTCACACACAATATCACTAACCACCGGTAGCTCTACATTTCTCTTAGTTCGGTAACTAACTCTTCTTTTTCTTCTAACTAAATTTATAATACAATCTTTGCTATATATAAGAAGAGCCTTTGCACTTTTCATTTACTTGCAACCAATTACAAAAACAAAGTGTAATAAGAGCAAAAACAGAGCAAAACAGATTTCACTTACTCTGTTTTTCCTCTGTTTTAAGCTTTAAAAGAAGAAGACAAAGAAGATGGTTGCGGTTGAAAGAGTTGAGAGTTTAGCAAAGAGCGGAATCATATCGATTCCAAAAGAGTACATTCGTCCCAAAGAAGAGCTAGAGAGCATCAACGACGTTTTCCTAGAAGAGAAGAAAGAAGACGGTCCTCAAGTTCCTACAATCGATCTACAAAACATCGAGTCCGACGATGAAAAGATCCGTGAGACTTGCATAGAGGAACTGAAAAAGGCAGCTTTGGATTGGGGAGTGATGCATTTGATCAACCATGGAATATCTGTTGATCTAATGGAGCGGGTTAAGAAAGCCGGGGAAGAGTTTTTCGGTTTGTCCGTCGAAGAGAAGGAGAAGTATGCGAATGATCAAGCCACAGGAAAAATTCAAGGGTATGGAAGTAAGTTGGCTAACAACGCTTGCGGACAATTGGAATGGGAAGATTACTTCTTTCATCTTGTGTATCCTGAAGACAAGAGAGATCTATCACTTTGGCCTAAGACACCAAGTGATTACATGTAAGCTTTGAATTATTTTACTTAAGAAAACAAATCTTGTTTTGGTTTTAGGATCATTTGTTAACGTTTTGGGATGATTGTAGAGAAGCAACGAGTGAGTACGCGAAGTGTCTTCGTTTGTTAGCAACAAAAGTCTTCAAGGCTCTCTCTATCGGTCTAGGCTTAGAGCCTGACCGTCTAGAGAAAGAAGTTGGTGGTTTAGAAGAGCTTCTTCTACAAATGAAGATAAATTACTATCCAAAATGTCCTCAGCCTGAGCTAGCACTCGGCGTGGAAGCTCACACCGATGTAAGCGCTTTAACCTTCATTCTACACAACATGGTTCCCGGTTTGCAGCTATTCTACGAGGGAAAATGGGTCACTGCAAAATGTGTTCCTGATTCGATTGTGATGCACATTGGAGATACTTTAGAGATTCTTAGTAATGGGAAGTATAAGAGTATACTTCATCGCGGGTTGGTGAATAAGGAGAAGGTTAGGATTTCTTGGGCTGTGTTTTGTGAGCCACCAAAGGATAAGATTGTTCTTAAGCCGTTACCGGAGACGGTGAGTGATGAGTCTCCGGCTAAGTTTCCTCCAAGGACATTTGCTCAACATATTGAGCATAAGTTGTTTGGGAAGGAACAAGAGGAATTGGTATCTGAGAAAAAGAATTAAGTTTGTGTGTTTAGTCTTATATATAAGCCTCTATATTTCGAGTTTCCTGTATTTTATGTACTGTGTTCGATGTGGTTCTCTTATTCATACGGATGGTGTCATTGTGATATGAATCATAAAGATTTGTAACCGAGATAACAGAAAGAGACAAACGAGTAACCAAGAGTGATATATGTAGTAGATCTATGAACCACATTATGTATTAAGAACTTGAAAGTATTTCTGATTTACATTTTCTGTTTTTCCTTTTTATGATACTAATGTAAGAAAACAGATGCCGAAGAAAGCAAAGAGAGGAGATGCATTATGTGGCTCATATTATGAGAAACTGAAGAATGCGGTTTGCTTTGCTTTCTCCTTTCTTCCTTTGTCCTCAAGACGAATTGGTCTACTTCTTTGGATTTCAAAATGTTAGCTTTAGGTTGAAGAAGAACCAATTCTGAATGTACATAAGGCGATGATTCCAGATTCTACAAATGCGTTCTGTACCATCAGCGAATGCCTAAGCCCCTGCAAAATTAAAAAGAAAATTGACAACAAAAGATCTAAGTATAGCTCCAGCAAAATTAAAAACAACATTGATATCAAAAGATATAAGTACATATGTTGTTCCAGATTTGATCAGATGCATATTGCAGAAGTTAGCGGCTGCAGACTTGACTTTATTATTATTAGCTTACCTCCTAGCTGTCCATTGCTGGTTTGTTTCAGGAGTTATTCCACTATTACCAAATTGTATCTGTTGTCCAGCTGAAGAGACTGGTTTTACCGCTGCCAATCTTGGTACCTGTAATGGATCGGAGTATCGACTTAAGAATTTACGAAACCTCTGTTGTAAATGGTTGCAAACTCCTTTTCAAGTTAAGAGCTTACCTCATTCCTTGCTTGGAAAGAGTTCATTCTATTTTCCTTTGACACCTAATGCCAAGAAAAGATTGCAACTCAATGATTAGACTTGGGAATGGAAGAAAACAAATCAAGTGACATGGAGTTTTACAAGCTGCACCTTTGGTTGAAATAATCTTGTGCGAGATCCATCGTTTGGCTGGAGCTCGGATTTGATGGAGAGCTGTAAGTTAAACAAACCAGCTCAAAAACTAGGAGACTATTTAAATAACTAGAGTGCGTTTTAGAAAGATCATATGTCAAACCATGAGCTGTACCTTGCTGAAAAGGTCTGTCGGTAAATCTGGTTGAACTCTCTTTTCCGAATGAAAACTAAACTCCTGTGTTACATATCCGAAAACAGTTTATGTGTACACATTAGGAAACTTCATTCATAAACATACCAGAAGATCAAGAGCAAAGAATAATTGGTAAGAATACCATACCAAAGGTACTGTTGTTTCTCGCTTGCTATTTTTGAAAATGCCCATGTCTCCTCTGCTTGAAAGTATCTGTTTAGAAGGAGTGAAAACCTATAGTAGGAGTGAAAATTATAATATAAGCGAATGAGACTCAAGAATGGATAGTACCTTCTTGTTCAGAGGACGAGCTTTAAAAACGTGACTTCCTTCTGAGACATCATGTTTTGATATATCCATAACGCTTGGTCTGCAAGAAAAAAATCAACTTTTAACATTATATTCACGTCAAAGACAAGTTGAAGTCAGAAAATCAAGCAATCCTTCATAAATTTTTCTTTGATTAGTGATTTTTTAAGTCATACCTCTTACTTTCCTTGTTATCACCGTCAAGCATATCAGTTAGAATAGATTTGTCTAACCCCTGTCACAAAGAAATTCTATCACTTTAGAGGCTGCTCTTTGAGAAGGATCAAGTTATTCAGATGAAAGACCTTGGTAAGATCACAGGACACAGGATAAACTACTATAAAGAAATATCGTTTCTACCTTATATGCATGAGAACTTGTTGTTACTGCTGATGAATGTTGCATAGCCCTTTCTGAAGTCTTCAAATGAAATTCCTGAAAAGAAATGGCAATATATTTAAGCTAAAGCCTTAAACTTGACTATGGTGTGGAAATACTATAGCAGCTGCTGAGACAAATCCATTTATAATGCTTACTTGAAATTCTGGTAGTTTCGGAGTGCTCTTTTTCCGGATGGGCAATGAGGGAGCCTCAAATATCTACAGATCACAAACATTAGCTTGAGTTTGGCAACGATAATGCAATCATTTCCATAACACATTTCTTAGTAGCAAGTTACAAACCTTTCGGTTAAATGGGCGTGCTTTGAATCTATATACAGTTGTTGAGTCCTGTTCTAACTTCGCGTCATTCTTGTGCCTGAAATAATCATTAGCAAAATATCCGGTGAGATGTGACCTTTCCTGTAACAATTCACTTTCAGCAAACATAAAGTTTCTAACCGTATCCTGTGAGCCCTCTGTGACGTAGCAAAATCAGGCTCTTGTGGGATAGTAATCTTTGTCCTGACATGTTGTAAGTTTCTATCAAGAGTTGTATCCTGCAAAACCATTAAGCAAATAATTTAATTGAATGATTTGCATCTCAGTAAGAGCTACCTTTCAACGGAAAGTTTAAGGCTCTATGTGCAAGCTCAAGAGTAAAGCAACAGAAAGCAAACCTTCTTGGGTATCTTGTGGACAAAACTCATTTCCTGCTTTGTATCAGCAACCTGGAACACAAAACAAATGACTTTTATTACCACTAGTTTCAGCACCTAAGTTCAGATATACCTAGAACATAGTTAAAGTTAGTATACATTATTCAACTCGGAGGGACTACCATGACAATCCCCTTATTCGTAAAAACAACAAAAAGTAAACCAACAACAGCTAAACCACTCTACCTTACGAAGAAGACCTCCATCAAGCTTCTGTCTTTTAGACGCTTGAACTTCGGTTCCAGATGTCCCACAACTTCCTTTATCATGACTTTGATCCACTTGCATATGGAATTTACTATACCAGCACAAGAAGACACGTATTAGGTGAATAAAATTAAGTTGACAAGAAGAAAAGTACCAAGATTTACATGCTCTGACAGTCACCTGGCATTATTTTGTTTTGCTAACTGGCTAGCAGTAGGTCTCATTAACGTTGAGCTCCTTGGAGTTGGTCTGATACTGGACTTAGCTCGGAATTTTGGTTTATCCGTGTGTTTGTGATTGCTCACCGTCGGCCCTGATAGAAGTAGAGAAAGAGACCATTAGCAATGATGAAGAAGGTACATACGTATTTTGAAGGGGACAACAAGTTTGATCAATAAAGTATATACCAAAGAAGGTCAGATGGTAAGATGGACCACATTAGAAGGTAAAATAAAAATGGAACTGATAATACATGCATGGTCATGTTGCTATTATAGCAAAATTATCACCTTTCCATATAGGCTGATTTGGAACTTTCTTCAAATTACTACATTGTTGAGAGGAAAAAATCCCAGAACGCATTCTACTTCCTGAAAAAGCAAAGATAATTTATGCTTGAATCAAAAACATTATGCTTCCATTTCTACCTTTGTTATCGACTTATCTAACCCCACAACTATAATCAAACTGGTAAACTACTTAAGAGATGCAAAGTACATAATCCAGACATCATATATTCACCTGTCTTATTCAAATCTGAAGCTAAATGATTTGGTTGCTGAAAGATTCCTTTATACTTATCACAAACATCTGGTGCGACTTCTTCATCCTCTGATCTCGTAGATGCCTCCGTCTTGTCATCAAAAACCTCCTCTCTAAGTAACAGTTTTGTTACAAAAGCTGAAAACACACAAAGAATTATCAACAATTTCACCTTGATCCTAACAATTTCACACAATGCTGACTTAAAGGCTATGATTTAGAGACACCAAGGACAATGGAAAACGTAGGATCCAAAATATAATTGAAATCAAAGCAGAACCATGAGTAGAAGCAAATTCCAAAACATAGAAACAGACTTGAACACAAAAATGATCACAATGTGAATTAACTTAGACGCATTTTACCACATTGTAAAGGAAGATGTGACAGCCAAAATCAATCAAAGAAAGAAGAAGAAGAAGAAGAAGTAGAAATTAAGAAATTTAGCCTAAGCCTTGACGCTCTTTGAGCTAATAACGAAAGTAGGCAAAACAGAAAACTTGAGGCCAATATACTCACGAGAAGGCGCGTACGACGGAGCAGAATGAAACCAGAACTCAGCGACTTGAGACTCCGCCGGTAACTCCTCTCGAGTAAAATCGTACCACCTCGCCGCATCAAATTCATACTCCAAATCGATCTCTTTAACCTCAAACACCATTGACTCGATTTCCATATCTTCATCCATCTCCATTTCTCTATCTCTCTCAAACCTCCACAATCACTTTCTTCTCTCTCTCTCTTTCCTTGGGGAAAATGCAACTAAAGCGAAGAAAATCACTGATCGGTTCTGGAAAAACCTGAAGTTTAGCAAATGAAATTGACTAGACAAAACCCTAATTTTCTCAGAAGAATCTCTGATTCATTGGGTCTGATGAAGAAGAAGCAGGAGCAGGAGCAGAAGGCAGGAAAGGAAATAAACGGCACAAATTTCGCTGTTTCAGAGATTTTTCTGTTTAGCGACAAAATGGAAAATATTTATTTAATATCCCATAACACCAATACGACACCGTATTCAAAACGTACTCGAAGCACAAAAGCATGGGACGCTCCGGTTTTTGTAACGACTCGAAATTTTGAATTCTGATTAGACGTACGAAAAGACGATACTACCCTTAATAGTAAGAGAGCGTGAGGGTGTTTTAGTAAATTTAACTGGGAAGTGCCTATTTTTTCCTTCGTGGGTGCTTCGAGGCGCGTCTGGGACTGCGAGCTTTATTATCTTTCGACGAGACTGAAATTCCGGCGGGATCAATATTCGCCCTTTGTATTTGTGTTTATTTACGAGTCTGCCACTAACGGTTGTATTGCTCTCTCTTTTTTTGACCTGGCAAAGTACTCTTTTTATATTCATGGACATAACTCTAATTATAACCAAATTGTTTTTTTTTTTATAAGAACTGGGGATTGAAATATTTCATAAGAATTCATCTGTGAATAATATTATTGTAGGTGTGTATATGTGCATTGCAGTAAGATTATTAACTTGTAAGTTGTAACGTAATAGTTTTATTGCATGGCTAGGACCTAGGAGGACGACGATATAGAGGCTTTCTCCACCACAAATGAAAGGTTTTTCTTATTGAAGTAACATTTTCAAAATGGTAACATAAGTAATATTTAAACATTTTGAAATCAGTTCATATGAAAATGAGAAGTGGACACACCAGCATGACGTTGACTGTGAATTTAATAATTTATCCATCATTTTTTTAAGCAAAACTTGACATTTAATACGTTCAATGTGGGTTCACAAAGACCCAAATTTGTGTTAAAGAAAAGGACAAATTATAAATTTTTTGGGTTCTTGGGGTAAGACAAAATTTCAAAATCTTTATGTATGTTTTTTAGGCATAAGTTTTATTCAAAGGGTTTTTGGGTTTTGTACCAAAGCTACTTTTGGGAGTACAAAGATACATTTATTTGGGGAGGTGTTGGTTGAACCATTTTAGAGGTAGTAAAAGAAATTTTAACTAAAAATAGAAAAAGCAATCTTACACATACATATGCAATATCTTCTTACCATTGTATTATTTGGTGTATGTTTTTCATTTTATTGGGCTCACAAGATCCACATGACAATTCTTTCCATAATCATAGATTTGTTTTCTTCTTTCTTCTATCCATCATTTAATATGTTCAAAAGAATATAAGTTACATTCAAAATATTATACGTTACTCTGACAAGCTTTAAATAACATTGTTTTGATTGGACAGACACGAAAAAGTAACATTAGCACTATCACAACAGAGTAAAAAAAGAAAGATAAATTATACAAATATTCTTCTCATTCATGTCATACATAAAAATTCACTGCAATAATTACAAAAAAAAAAAAGAACATTAAAAATTGTTAGGTTTTTTCCTCTGTTCATACTTGTTAACCCTTTTTTTTTACCTTCACATTTCAGGTTGTTAATAAAAGAAATTAAAAGAACCAAGGACAAAAAAAACAAAGCTCTTTCACATCTTGGATTGGAACAGACCTGTACTGTGTAAGAAGACAAGAGATGTTTCAGACAAAAGAGCAGAGAGACAAAAGCAGCTCAGAGTTTGTCACGTGGTTTTACAGTTTTACTGCAACAATACTTCCTCTTCTTTCTTCATAGTCTCCAGCTGTCTTTTCGCATACTTTGTGATGAGAATCGTTGTAGCCACTGTTGCTAAAAAGCCGAGAATGTTGAGGATAACTTGTGTTACCGAGAGACCCTGTTTTTCTGCAGAAGATGCTTCTGCTAAAGTCCTTACAAGAATCCCTCTGCAACACAGAAACGAGACATTTGACTCATCAGTGAAAAGGGCTTCTAGAAGCTAAATGCTAGACACAAGCTAAAAATCTGTTCTACAATAGTGGAATAGTGGAATGTGAGGATTTGCCAAGGATTCTTTTTGGATGTTTTATGCTGATTAGGTGCAATGATCATTGATGTAAACAGTAGTGGACCTAACAAAATGTACTGGAATTGAAGAGAAGAGATAGAAACCTGACTTACGTGTAGATTGCGACAAATACCTCAGGAACCATGCCTAAGAGAGAGCCTGTGATGTAAGGACCATACTTAACACGAGTTGCTACAGAACAGTAGTTATAAAGAATGTAAGGGAATGGAGAAATCCGGATTAAGGTTACTAATCGAAATTGGTGAAGCCAATTCCCTTCACCAGCAGCTCTTAATACGGCTGCTTGGTCAGGATATCTTTCTAGCCATCCCTATACAATCACAAGAAAAGACAGAAACAGATTTCAGTAATATGACAGTTTAAGCAGCTACATTGATCAACATCATCATTTGAGCCTTTGAAGAAACGAAAACAATGCTAATCCAGCTACGTCACAAATGCAACTACATTGATCAAAGACATCATTTTGAGAAAACGAAAACAATGTTAATCCTGGTTTCAACCTGACAGTTATTAGCATTGAACCGAGGTAACCAAGCCTTTAAAGTCATGTATTTAGAGAGCCGCTTCTTATTTTCTAAACCTACCTTATAACTTTCTAAAAAACTTAAACTTGGTTACCTTAATTGAAAGCAGTTTTTGAGGGATGATACATACTTGAATTTTGTGGCAGAAAAGTTGTCCAATAAAGTAAGGTAGCGATACACCAACAGCTGCAGCTGAGATAATGAGTAGAAACCCATAGCCATAACCAAAAGTCATCCCAGCAATCCACATTGATGGTGTAGATGGAAGAAGAATAGTCGGAAATATTGCCACGGACGCAAAGACAAGAAGACCGCACACAGGATGTGTAAAAGTTCTTATCTCCCATTGTATAAGCGGGATAAGCTCCTGCAGAACCAGGCAAGTAGATAATCCCCCTTGTTAGAAATACAGTAAAAACACTCAAGCTCTAATGCAATAACTCTTTGATCATATATGAATACTAACAAATACATGAAGCATCAACATCATCAAGATCGTCAAAACCACAAAAAAAAAATCCTCAAATCTAATCAGACTATAAGCATGCAGACTATATACAATGAGATTTGAATGCTTCATTACACATTCAAGCTCTAATGCAAGAACTCTTTGATCATATATGAATACTAATAGATACATGAAGCATCAACATGATGGAGATTGTTAAAACCACAAAAAAAAAAATCCTCAAATCTAGTCAGACTATAAGCATGCAGACTATATACAATGAGATTGCAATGCTTCATTGCAAAAATGGACTAAAGTAATGAAATTTATCCAATGAAATCTACAATCTAAACCTCTGATAACACAAGAAACACCAATGCAACAACGAATAAAGCTAAAATCGAATCTGACTGAAGTTAATATCAAACCTTATCCATGATCAATGGACCGATCCATATGTAACCCACAACAGCCAATGTAGCAAGAAAGGCGAATAAAAGAGAAAGCTTGACCCAAAACCAAAACCGCGACGAATCAATCTTTTCTTCTTCTTCTTCTTCTTGTTTTTTCTTTAAACCCTCACTTAATTTCACATAAGGACCCTTTTTCTCATCGTTGTCGTCGTCTTCGACTCTCACCCGGAGCTCAAGAACCGGTTTTTCATCCTCCGGAAGAGTCATCGAATGCAATTCAGAAACAGAAAGAGAAAACACTGAGCAAAACCTAATACACTGGATTTTTCCGATTAAACGGGAAAATCCAGTGATCGGAAATTCGAAAAAGATGAATGCAATCGAACCAAACAAAAAAACAAATTGGTGTGTGGGAAACAAAGAGAGCAAATTTGTGAGGAATTTCAGTGAGGAAGTTTTCTCCTCGATTTGTGTCTTTGCTTGTACCGATTTTATTACCCTAACTAAAGTAATTAACTAATTGCGTCTTTCTCACTACACATATATTCCAAATATTATTAGTTTAAAAATTTAAGAAAAAAAATATTTATATACAGCAGAAAAAACTTTATTAACCTTTTCATAATTTGAAATCAACGATATCTTAGCATATACTAATATAGTATGCATTTGATTTCTATTTTTACAAAAAAACAAATATACTTCCATGTTTTAAAGCCCACTGGGCCCAGTCCGTGAAACTTAAACTCTAAACGGGTCGGGTCGGGTTTTGTTAAGGTTGATGATGCGACCGATTCTCGGGTCCCAGATTCTCTGAATCTCTGTTCTTTCATCTCCCAGCACTCTCGGAGTTTCGCTACTAAATTCTTCTGAAAAATCTGAAGATCAACAAGTCAAAAGAAGAAAAAGATGAGCGTGATCACAACTCCAATAGAAACCCTGCACCTAAAGTCAACACTTCGTCTTCTACCACGAGCTGTTTATCGCAGTCAAGTTTTCCCGCCCAACATCTTCTCGAACTCTTCTCTGAGTTCTCCACTTCGAATTGACCCAATCTCTCAAGGTTTGTTCATCTTATTTATCGATCTCAGGCGTTTTTGCTTGTTGGGTACCTGCAAAATTTACACTTTCTTCTCTCTTTTTCACTCATGGTGTTCTGCAATCTACAGGGATCGGATCGAGGAATTTGTGGCGTAGATATGCATCGGATCATTTCTCGGAGATGGGTTTAGATCCTGAAGCTAATTCAGTTAAGGTGTGCAATATGGGATCTTTCCTTTTCTTTATGTATTGGGTTTGAATTTGTTAATTACTCTTCTCAAATGTGTCATCTTTGAAGTCAAAATGTGATTTTGCACTAATGAAGACTTGTAGTTATCCAAATTTTGAATCTGATTAGCTAAAATATCATCCTTGCATCACAGTTTTGCTACTTTGTTCTTCGTTTGCTGATGATCTCAGTTGTTACTTCCGAGAACCAACATGAATATAGTATTGACTTGCAGGTTATTGACAAGGCTTCTATAGTGGATACAATGAAGAAAGCTAACTCAATTCTTCCTCATGTAGTGTTGGCGAGTACAATTTTAGCTCTTCTCTATCCTCCTTCTTTCACTTGGTTTACGTCGAGGTAACTAGGTCAAATTGATCTAAGACTTTGGATTGTAGACATGAGGTTTTCTAAAAAGCTCTTCTTTACTCTCCTGTTCTTTTAGGTACTTTGTGCCCGCTTTAGGGTTCTTGATGTTTGCTGTTGGCATCAATTCAAACGAGAAAGACTTTCTTGAAGCTTTCAAAAGACCAAAAGCTATTCTCCTTGGTTATGTTGGACAATATCTCGTAAAGCCAATCCTAGGTTTCATCTTTGGCCTAGCTGCGGTGTCTGTATTCCAACTCCCAACTCCAATTGGTAAAGCTCTCTATCTCTCTTGCATCATTCAAGACTCTTAACTGATCGCATATTGACAAATCAATCTCTCAGGCGCTGGAATCATGTTGGTTTCATGTGTTAGTGGAGCTCAGTTATCAAACTACGCAACTTTCTTAACTGATCCAGCATTGGCACCTCTAAGCATCGTCATGACATCTCTATCAACCGCTACTGCAGTTCTTGTCACACCGATGCTATCACTCTTGCTCATCGGGAAGAAATTACCCGTTGATGTGAAAGGAATGATATCCAGCATTCTTCAGGTTGTAATCGCACCAATCGCTGCAGGATTGCTACTAAACAAGTGAGAGATATAGCTACAAGCCTACAACTATAAAGAAACTATATAGGCACAAGTTGTTTCTCAAAGCTTAAACATCTTTTATCATATGTGATGTCTTCTTTTACAGGTTGTTCCCAAAAGTATCTAATGCAATCCGACCATTTCTACCAATTCTATCGGTTCTTGACACAGCTTGCTGCGTTGGAGCACCACTCGCATTGAACATAAACTCGGTCATGTCTCCATTTGGAGCCACCATATTGTTACTAGTAACAATGTTTCATCTCTCAGCTTTCCTCGCTGGATACTTCCTTACCGGCTCCGTCTTTAGAAATGCTCCAGACGCTAAAGCCATGCAAAGAACATTGTCCTATGAAACTGGTAACTCACTGACACTTTGGTTTTAAAGATATTGATTTTTTTAAAAGCTTTTAGCATAAGCAATGTGTTTGTGAATATCTCAGGAATGCAGAGTAGCCTTTTGGCTCTAGCGCTTGCGACTAAGTTCTTTCAAGATCCTCTTGTGGGGATTCCTCCTGCTGTCTCTGTGAGTCTCACAACGATATCGTTTTGACATTGCATAATCCTTTTTTGATGATTATAGCCTTATAGGGATTTTGTTTTGTTTTCCAGACGGTGGTAATGTCATTGATGGGGTTCACTCTTGTTATGATCTGGTCTAACGAAAAAGAGAAAAACATTTAACAATGTAATTTAATTTCATTCCACATTTTGATTACAGGCATATATGTACTATACACAATTGGAATTTTTTTTTTTTCTTCTTTTTTTTTTTTTTTTTTTGGCCAAAAATTGGAACTTCTTCTTGTAATATATAATCTATATAACATATAATGAGTAAATATTTTAAAATAGTTAGAGATACGAAAAAAGAAACTTAACCTAAATTTTCGTGGTAAAAAAATTACTTTTAAGAGTTACAATTATTTAGTAGAGTAAAAAAAATAAGAGTTATAAAATACAAAATTTAAAGGTTTTTACTTAAAATAGAAAGCAATTCTTTTCTAAAAAATAGACATTTAAAATTTGAGTACTGATTAAAAAATAAGAAAGATTTAGAACATAATATTACTTATAATTATATTATAATATAAATAGTTAAATTAATAATTTTTTGTATTATTAATCTTTTCTAAATTAAAAAGTGGTGCTTTGTTTTTTTAAAAATGAACTAGGGGAGGTCCCCGCGCCCAGCGCGGGGTTGTATGTTGATTAAGACCAGAATTAATAATTAATATTTAGGGTTATCAAGTTAGGGATATTTATTGAATTAATTTTGTCAAGAGTCTAATTTTTATAACGACATTAATATAGATTTATGGTAAAACGCTATAACTTTTGATATATATTATTAGTAATCAACAATTAATAGTGTTTTTGAATCACAAACAATTATTAGTGTTTATATCTTGATATATATAATAGAATTAAATATAAAAAATCTATATATTTAAACCAACAATATATTAGCAACGTCCCGACCGCCACTGTCCATGGGTTCCCACGTCCAGTCTCGGTCTTTAGGCCCATCTTCTTTGTTTTGTCGTACTCTTGATTTTATGACATATTCATGCTTACTCGTTTCTTTCATATTAGCAACGCCCCGATCGCCACTGTCTGTGGGTTCCCACGTCCAGTTTCGTTCTTTGAGCACATCTTCTTGGTTTTGTAGTACTCTTGGTTTTATGACATATTCACGCTTCCTCGTTTCTTTCATATTTGTAACGCTCCGACCGCCACTGTCCGTGGGTTCCCCACGTCCAGTTTCGGACTTTAATTTGGGCCCATCTTCCTGGTTTTTGTTGTATTCTTGATTTTATGACATATGCATGCTTTTAGATTGTATGTCACTGGAGTTTTTCGTAGTTGGAAACAAATAATTGAAAAATATAATCTCTTACCATATCTCTTACCTATCAAGTAAGTCATCTTGCTCTTTGAAGTAGTTATGTACGTAAAATTTCAATGGTATAGAAACAGGCATCTCCTTTGTATATATCGTGTCATATTTATCGTCCCTATTGTAGTATCTTTGTCTCTACCTTCGCCATTGGTCGCTGCGTAACCCTTCAGTTGATCTCTTGTTTATAAAACCCATATAAAAAGTTGTAAGAGAAATATCATTTTCTTAACTGTATCGTATATGTATTTGTAGTATATTGATCTGAGATTGCAAAGATGTATGCCTATCAAGAAGCTCTTAGCAAAGTAAACACTGAAGATAGGTACTAAAAATGAGAGGGTTACAGAGAGCAAGTATCTATCCCTTAGAAACCACTGTGTGCAACTGAGAATAATTCATATATGTACATACATACACATGTATACAACGTATTGAAGCTTTTAAATTTAAATATCGAATGCTACAAAACTGGAAAATTGCTTGTGGAGAAAGCAATATGAACATGGCCACATATATAACAAATAACCGATTATGCTTGTCGTAGATCATTCTCTTTCAAACCAAAAGTTTTACCTAAACAACATATCAAGTGACTCACAAGAGATACATAAGAGCCATATCCTAAAAATATCCGGCAAAGCAAAAACGCTCCAGGTTCGAGAAGGAAGTCATTGGAAAATTTGAGTATATACCAAACTGGAGAGTAATTCGGCTACAAAGAGAGATGTGTTGGCTTTGAAGAAAAAGCTATGTGATGCTCTACCTTTTATTTATGAATTTTATGCTATGAATATATGTTTTTGTTAGGGTTCAACTTCAGTCTCCGGATTAGAGACTTATATTCATCCGACAAACAATTCAATGTCACAATCAACGCTACAAAATTGGTGGGTTCTCTCTATTAACAAACAAAAAAAAATTTTGGGGTATATATTTTTTTTTTGTTTTGTTAGATCCATACGACGAAGAACATGACGAAGAACACCAAAAATTCTCATCAATCCGGTACATTTGATCTTATTTTTATTAGTTTAACAATTACGGTTATGTCCGAATCTGAAATAACCATGGCTCCAGACTCTTTCACACCATGGCCACATATCACCGGAGTGGAGACGATTTCAAATTCGGAGCTTCTCTTCGCATATAAAATCATACATATGGTCTCTTTGTTTCGGGTTCCCTCTACAATAATTAGTACATATTTCAAAACTGAGCTACAAAAGAGCACATTGGATTTTGGTAAACATCAAGATTGCTTCCTACCTTCCAAGAAACATGATAGACTAATTCACATCCAAGACCAAATATTAGCCACATAAAGCTTGAATCAAATTAAACGATCTTAGGATGCTCTTCATAATCCGTAAGTTAAAGAGACTTGCA